GATACAATGTCATAAACATAAGGCAGGCCAGATATACATGAGATCCGAACTAAGGAACTGCTTTTAGGCCACGAGACTGTAAATGTATTTGATGATATTGGTCTAGGTCTAGGCAGTTTTAATCTTAGGACACACAAATTGAGCTAACGTCGGGACTATCTTTAAATATATAAATAATTAGGAAGGGTTCTAGAAAATAGTTGATGTACAGAATAGGCATTACAATTCCTAAAATTCATTAAGTCAATTGTATTCAGAATTGTATAACACGAATAAAAAGTCTTATTCCTTTAAACGATAGCACTTTAAGTGTATTCATACGAGCGTAAATTCACTTTCATATTATTTTGCTATGGCATATTTAAAATTATTATCATTTCAAATATTGAAATCAAAATCAAATCAAAATCAAAAAATGTTTATTTCAATAGCAATGACAGTTGTTTTCTTACAATCAAAGGTTGGGGCCAAACCTTTTAAGTATTATATATACTTGTGCCAGGAAAATAATTGTTGTGAAATAAAATGTCTACACGAAACTATGACGAACATACAAGGTTTTTTTTTCATACAATTTCTACAGAAAGGGTTTCGTTTGGACAACTTATAAAATATTTCATTTGTCTCTATTGTCTCTATTGCCTACCAGTAACATCTGCCGATGGACGATACTCTGTAGCGATATGAAGCAACACTCACACACTCTCGAATTCGTGACGCCGATCACACACTCTGCAATTCGTCGCTTTAATTTTGCCTGATAATATACAAGGCAGATGAAGATTTTATTTAAAATCACAATATTATTGTTTCGGGTCTGGATGTTTGTCCTTGTGAAATTTATATATGTAAACTGCCCCCACGATACAGGAAGACTTCCTGGTGTCGAAGTAACGTTTTAAAAAAACTAGTGTCGGAAGAGATGACACAGGGAAATTAATGAGTAGCTGCATCTTTCCTATAACGACTCAAAAATAATGATTGTCAACCCGCCAAGCGGGGCAACCATGGCAAATATCCTACCTATGACAGTCTATGGGCGATTTTCAATCTTAAAGCTTTATTAACCGCTTTATTCATTTTCAAAGAACACTCGTGTAAATGGACTCTTAAAATCAAGACGCCTCTACACCACTTTTCATACGTAAGGATACTTTTTAATGACTTCAAGATATAAAAAGTCACCTGTCGTAAACTGGTTTTAGAAAAAATAAATCTAAAGGAGACCACAAAATACTCGGGACTTTTTTGGAGACTCAGTTGCGGTAAAATTAAAGATGTAAAATCTTCCCTTTAAATGTTTATCAAATACCCTGTTTAATAATAAATTTGGTTGTTAAATAAAAACTGAGTCTCGGCAAGGAAACATATATCTAAAATAAGCATGGTGAATAGGTTTTTAGGTGATGGTATGTCATTTTATAATCACATTAATTTACTTACAAACAACGAGCCACTGTTAAGATGAAGCTGCTGTTACGTACGGCGAATTTAAGAAACATCTCAACGTTGAGATCGTTTCTTGGATTCTTTGTACGACATTAGAGTAAATGAAGGAAGTACTCATCACGGAACACTTTGAAGACCGAATAAATGCAATGGATAATAAATTTAAAAAGTATAGTCAATGTCATATCTACTGGTTAAGAACCATTACAAATATGTTTAAAATACTTTTTTAGAAAAAGTCCCACTTAAATAATTTAACACTTCGTCATCCTAATTTAATGCATTAAGGACCAAGATAAGTGACGGGACTCTGAATATCGGGCTAAATAAAAAATATATGAAAAGTGGTGTATGATCTAGTGTGGTGATATTGTCTGCTGGTTTCATTATAAACTATCCACTTTTATTTTAAATTAGATAAAAATATAGTTTTTTGGAGAAAAAAAAAAACATTTACATGCCTTTTATTATTAAAACCCATAATATAAAGTATACTTAGAAAATGGGGATAAAATATGGACCCTAAAATATTGTTTGCATTTATTAATTACAATTATAAGAGCCGTGGTAACTTTTTACCGTTTTAACGTTTAGGGCTCAACTTTAATTTTCAAATACATAATCGGTGTCCGCTCCCCGCCACTGACGAAATAGTTATGTAAGATTTAAGTACTGATTTACCACGTGGTCGGAGGTGAAAGAGAACATCATGAGGTAAATTTTTTTCGAGGGCAGATTCTTGCTTCAAAAACCACTACAAAAATGAAAGAAAACTTTTCCTAACATTTTAAGGGACTTGAGAACAAAATGAATTCAATATGAATTTCATAACGTTCCAAAGTTTGTAACGATATCAAAACCTAAAATTATCAATAACGTTATATCATTTTCGTAGAACAATATTTTTCGTTACGTTATAGGTATCGGTAACGTTATGCCTATATCCGCTTATAATATCGTTACGGCTGAAACGTTACAGATTTACTTGTACACTGCACTAACGCTCCGTTACCGTACCCCGTACAAGCCGTCGCCACCGTTTCGCATATTATATAAAACATAAAAAGTTGGTGTCACAATCTTTGACAGCTTAATAACGATGTTAATATCGTTATATTATTAACGATATATTTTTAATATTGTTATTAAATAGTTGTAGATTTCGTTCCGTTTGTTAGTATTGTTATAGCCAAGAATTAATTTTGTTACTATCGTAGTGGAACGGTACGACTTATCGTTACTGGAACTACGCGTAACGTTATTTTGAGTAACGTTTCAAGTCCCTGGTTATTTTTAATTTATCCTACAAAATTCTATGAATGCTAAATGCTTTGCACTATCCATTTTCTAGCTTTTTTGAAATAATTTCATTGGACTCGTGAAATAATTTGAGGATTGCCTGTCTATATTGTTTGAGTACACGACACGATGAGGTAGACTGAAATAATAAAACACCTTAAATACGTATAAAAACACTTTGATCCTATACCATACGTTATAATACTGTTATAACTATGAATGATACTTACCCTTGTTTTAGGACTAATTGATTCGGTGATATAAAAACAACATTATGTGCGAAAACATGACGCGTCCACAACTTATTTCTAAACTCGTCGATGAGAGCATTCAATGAAATATTTACCTACAATAACAAGCCATCGATTGTGTTACTATGACGTCTTAAATACGAGGTGTTTGCGGCAAATGCGACCAACACCATCACCTAATATTCCACCCCTAATTTAAAAAAGAACGCGCTTGGTTAAAAACGTGTGTGGATGTCGACTACAGCTAACGATTGAAATAAAAGCATATAATTCGTGTTCAAACTCTTACAACTAAGGAAAATAGATATTAGCTTAAATTTACATTCACTACATTTCTCTACATTCACACGACACGTTCTGTACACGTACCGTCAGCGCAAACAGTATACGTGATTACAACGTACCGTTATCAAAACCTATTTATAATTAAGAATCTAAATTTTTACACCCACGAGAATTTTACATACTTAATCCATTTATTTATTACCAAAGTCCGAAATAATAAATGAAAACAATAACTTCAACTAAAATGCGCACAGCGCACTTTTATCACAGCCAATATGGTCGCTATTTGCCCGACAAACACCTCCGCGCCACGTTTTTGTTTAACTTACGACTATTACAATATCAAATCTCTCTAATTAAATTCAATAACCGGGTGCGGTTTTGTACCATTATATTATAAGACATTCCGAAGAAACTTCATATATTAACCAGGCTCTAGATTTTGTAGTGAGGGCTGAGCTGCCCTCTCTTTAACTCTGCACGGGTCTCATTTTAGCTGTACCCATGTTTTTGAAGTTTGAACCTTGTATCATATTAAGCTAAAACGTATAAAACCGCACTCGTTTAGCTTAAGCAGGAATAACACTTTACCATAACACTTCGACTACGCTGGTAGTTGTTACGTAGCTCTGCATCGGATTTCACAGTTCAAGATATAATCGAAAATGCACTCGTTACTATAAGTCTTACTTAGACTGCTTAGCAGTATAGCAAAATATAATTAAACGAGACAAAGGAACATAAATGAACTCTTATGGTTACTTACCTATGTGATAATTTCATCGTGTAACATCGGAAACGTTACTCATAAGTAAATTATTAAGCCCTACTAAACAACTCCGTCATAAAAGCCGTGGTAGCTCAGGAGCTCAGGTCGTCGTCAATTTCACGGCCCACAAGCTACCCAGGTGCGATCGCCGGCACCAATTAAATTTTGTTTATTACAATTTTAAGTGCTAATTTAGCGCCGAGCACATCGGTGCTCGGCGGTACATGAAACCATCACGAGGAAACTTGTGATTTTGAGAAATAAAATATTTCGCGTCAACACGCAATGAAGCAACGCGCCTGACTAATTACTCCATAGCCCTCCGTATATAAACTGTATTATAACCAAACTACAATCCTATTACAAACAAAACTTTAAACTTTGTAGCAAGAATAGCTAACATTCTACAATCGTTGACGCTAATAGAAAACTAAATAATTTAAGGTAAAACATATTTCAACGTTAAGTCATCTGACTATCGTTGTTGATTTCATTATTTTTTAGACGATGACGATATCGACGACACCGTTGTGCAGTGGCTTACAATTATTATTAAGTTGCCGTTCAAATCCCGCACGAAATAAATCTATCACCCCATTTCGTCCCAGAGGTGCAGTAAGAGGCGAAACAGCGAAGTTAAAACAGGAGGTGGGCAACAGCAGTGCAGCAAATTGCGCACAACATAAAATTATAAGTTTACAAAAGAATAAATAAATCTTTTGTAAATATTTACAAAACTTTATCTATAGAACTGTGTGTCCGTTACATAAACACGCTCCGCAATAAGCGACCTTAGGCATATAGCGTTGAAGTTTAAATGGAGCCGCGACACGCACAACCAAGCTTCCATTCACAATTGAACCTTATAAACTCAGTAATAAGAGTTACAATGTCTGCGGCGTGTGTTTAGACGGCTGTCGCTTCAGCCGCCTACTGACCGGTCACTGTCAGTTGTTCTTGTCGATGTTGTGTATTGCCCAGTTCACTGACGCCTTCCACGAGTTCTTCACTGCCTCTATAAACTTTAGTCGAAAGTGCTCCAGTGCTTTTTCTTCGGATAAATCCATTACCTGTTGAAGAGGATACGGATGAATTATAAACGGTTAGTTAAAGCCTATATACGTCCCACTGCTGGGCACAGGACTCCTCTCACTTCTGGGAGGGTTTGAAGGTTTCAAGGAAATGTCCCCCGCGCTACTCCAATGCGTGTTGGCAAACTTCACATGTCTTCGTATTATTTTTTCTTATTCCTCAGACATGCAGGTTTCCTCACGATGTTTTCCTTCGCTACCGAGCATGTAGTAAATCAGCATTTAAAATTGCAATTGACAATTTCATTGGTGCCGGCGGGGATCCAACCCAGGTTGCTCGCGTACTGTGAAATTTACAGCGAGCGCTAACCATCTGAGCTACCGCGGCATGGAACTAAACGGTAATATGCGTTAATAACCATTATTGATATTGAGGGTTAAATTTGCAGAAATCCATTAGATTAAAGATGTTAAAATTATTTAGTTCCAGATGGTTGACCACCGCAGTCAATTTCTTCTGATGATGGTTCTTTTAAAGACGAAACACGTGTCGTATTATCGACGGTGGTGTATCTTTGCTAGTGTAGTAGTTTTGCGGGTAGTGGTACTGGGATCAGTGGTGACCGTGATGATGCACGCATAGGGGGATAGAGCTCGTTTTTTAAATAATACTTAGCTAATTAATTTCAACTACTTTAATATAATCACCATTATGTTACTACAATACATTGATATGCAATATTTTTATTTAACAACTGTGTTGCCAGTGATGACCTATGAAACTGAGACGTGGTCCTTCACTGCTGGCCGGATGAGGAAGCTCAAGGTCGCTCAGCGAGCTATGGAGAGGGCTCTGCTCGGAGTTTCTCTGCGTGATAAACTTAGAAATGAGGATATCCGCAGTAGAACCAGAGTGACCGACATAGCCCAACGGTAGGTAACCTGAAGTGGCAATGGGCCAGCCATATAGCTCGAAGAACCGACAACCGATGGGGAAAAAAGGTTCTCGAGTGGCGGCCTCGTACCGGCGAACGAAGTGTAGGGCGTCCCTCCACTAAATGGAGTGACGACCTGGTAAGACATGCAGGAAGTCGATGGATGCGGGTGGCTCAGGACCGTGCTTTGTGGTATTCTTTGGGGGAGGTCTATGTTCAGCAGTGGACTTGTGAAGGGCTGTAATGATGATGATGACTGTGAACCATTAGATTATTGTCGCTTATTTAATAAACAAGTCCTTTTACTTTCTTGTAGTACAGATAATTAAAAAAAAGCAAATTAAACTTACCAAAGTTTCTCTGAGGTATTGCAGGTCCTTCTCCGACCTAAGCTCGGGTAGACCAGTGGAGATCATCATTGAAAACAAGGAAAGGATCAGATGGCCATGCTTTCGGAGAATTTTGAAAGCCTGAGAAATAAAAGCTTTATTATTTTTTGTGGTTATATAAAAATGCCACCTTTTCCACGTTTATCATAGTTTATAACTAATTTTACTCCTTTTTAAGCATTTTGAGACTACATTTAATCGATTTTAAATTTAAAGTTAGGATTTTGTATGTTCATCAATTATAAAATGTGATAACCTCTGGCTGTCTATAAATAAATACATGGAATGGTACAAACATAAGAATAGCAGAGGGCATTTCACGGAGGAACTAAACCCAATGTACGGGCACAGTCATGGTGATCAAATTAACTGTAGTAGGCGATGTTTGCTCGGGAGCGAATTGAAAGGGGTTCTATAAGACGATGACAAAAACTTGAAGTTAAAGTTTCAGAAGGTTGCAGATTGCGCGTACGTTCATATCACGGCGAGATGACAAAGGCGGGGATTTCCCGCCAGGCAAGGTGTTTAGTCCAGAGGAGCGGCCAACGCTGAGTTTAGTATTACGGAGCTGTTCTATATGCAGGATTATTGTGCAATGTACGGCCAAATTTGCAGAGAAGGTTCAGAATAAATAAATATAGGCAAATGGTGAAGAAAAATTTATTAAAAAAATCTCAGACATTCTATCCTTATTATCTTTTAAATTCAGAATGCGTGGTAATGAATTATTTAACAGATTGTCACTCATAAATAACTTACGCCTACTATTTTACTGCGCATGGATAATTTCAAATAAAAGTAGAAGCCTTATTCACTCGTATTTTCAAAAATTGCAATAAAGTTATATCATTATTTATATATTTGAACTTATGTATAAAACTTGTCTACTCTTAGAAAAATAACCCTGAGTACCAGAGTAGTTCGGAAACTTCTTTAGGGTGATTTAGGTTTCGGATCATTTTGCTTCTGATGCGACGACAGGGCCGCCATACATCATTTCTGTTTTGAATATACTTACTGTCTCACAATGTTCTTTAAAAATCTTGAAGTCGAGTGCTTCATTAACTCCAGACCCTCGCTGTCCCTTATTTATGACGTGAATAAAATCGTGCGTTAGAACGAAGGGCACACGCTCACGTTTGAACCCGTACTTCTGCTTGAAGTGGCCAAGAAAGTGGCCGAAGTCTATATGGAAAAGCTGCAACAAAAAAAAACAACAGATTTGTAGAAAATTATGAGTGTATATATCAGCAATGGTCTTTTTGAAAAGTACTGGATTGATTCAGGTTAAATAATACAATTTTTACAGATTTTATAAAGTTTTTTTTTATTCTCGACGTTTCGCTAAAATATAATTATAAAAATACAGATTTATCAAACGAACAACAATCAAATTTAACAAATCTTATACGTGTAGTATTCACGTAAATATAAGAAACAATTATTGACTCAAGCTCTTTTATAATTGGACACGATGGTCACGATAGATTGGACGATAACATCGATGAATATAATATAATTTTTTATAGTACACTTTGTTTTATATATAAAATTTGTTCAAGTGCATGCTGTACGATTAATTCATGACAAACAAATGAGGGCATCCACGACTATTTCTGTCACCAGGGCGGCGCCACTTAAAAATGAGGTATAATATTTGTCAAATTTCATAGTGGGGCACCCCGGCACCAATGAAATTGTTAATTGCAATTTTAAGCATTGAGATATAATGTACTACGTACTAGATAAGACGCTTCAACTCGATTGTTTGTAGTAACACGCGTTCGAGTGCGCGCTCTCAAACTCACTTAGTCTGTGTCAAGCGGTTGTTGCAACGTGAGAAGTTAGAGTGAAGAATTATTTTTAAATTAATATGCCTTCGTGTGCATTGAGATACTGTTCAAACTACTCGAGAAATATAAGGAAAAGTCAAGGAGTGAATTTTCACTAGTAATTTAAACTTATTATTATCTTTAAAACACGCTTAATTTAATTATATTTTATCAACTGCAACTTATACGTGAATGTCACAAAGAGTAAAACATTTTTATGCGCAGACTTGACACTATCGACGTATCATCATCATCATCATTACAGCCCTTCACAAGTCCACTGCTGAACATAGGCCTCCCCCAAAGAATGCCACAAAGTACGGTCCTGAGCCACCTGCATCCATCGACTTCCTGCATGTCTTACCAGGTCGTCACTCCATCTCGTGGGGGGACGCCCTACACTTCGCCTACCGGTACGAGGCTGCCACTCGAGAACCTTTCTTCCCCATCGGTTGTCGGTTCTTCGAGTTATATGGCCGGCCCACTGCCACTTCAGCTTACTAATCCGTTGGGCTATGTCGGTTACTCTGGTTCTACTGCGGATATCCTCATTCCTAAGTTTATCACGCAGAGAAACTCCGAGCATAGCCCTCTCCATAGCTCGCTGAGCGACCTTGAGCTTCCTCATACGGCCAGCAGTGAAGGACCACGTCTCAGTTCCATAAGTCATCACTGGCAACACGCACTGGTTGTACAATTTCGTTTTCAGGTTTTGAGGTATGTCTGACGAGAAGATGTGTCGTAGCTTCCCGAACGCTGCCCAGCCGAGTTGAATCCGTCGATTGACCTCTCGGTCGAAGTTGGACCTACCTAGTCGGACTATTTGTCCCAGGTAAACATACTCGTCAACAACTTCGAGCTTAGTGCTCCCAACAACTACCGGCATAGGTGTGACATGGACATTGAACATGATCTTTGTTTTGTCCATGTTCATCTTAAGACCTATCCGTTGGGAAACACTATCGAGGTCATTGAGCATAGTGCTTAGGTCCTCCAGCGATTCTGCCATAAGGACTATATCGTCGGCAAATCGAAGGTGAGTGATGTACTTGCCATTGATGTTGATACCGTATCCTTTCCAGTCCAGAAGCTTGAAAACGTCTTCCAATGCAGCGGTGAAGAGTTTCGGGGATATGACGTCACCCTGTCTTACACCTCTCTGCAATTGGATAGGTTTCGTACTCTGGTTCTGTACTCGGATAGCCATCGTAGTCCTACTGTACAAGCACTTCAACACTTCGATATACCGACAGTCAACTTGGCACCGCTGAAGGGACTGCAGCACCGCCCAAATATCGACGGAATCAAAGGCTTTCTCATAGTCCACATACGCCAGACATAGTGGCAAATTGTACTCTTCGGACTTCTGTACAATTTGCCGAAGGGTATGTATGTGGTCTATGGTGCTAAAGCCCTTTCGGAAACCGGCTTGTTCGGGAGGCTGGAAGTCGTCAAGTCTGCGCGCGAGACGATTCGTAATGACTCTCGAAAACAGCACGTAGACGCGGCTCAGAAGGGAAATCGGTCTGTAGTTCTTCAAGAGAGCGTTGTCACCTTTCTTGAAGAACAAGACCACCGCACTTCTGCTCCACGCCTCCGGTGTAATGCCACCATGGAGGACGGAATTAAAGAGCTTCTGAAGGACTTCAAGTACCGGTCTTCCACCCGCTTTCAGAAGCTCCGCTGTAATTCCATCCTCGCCTGGGGCCTTACCGTTTTTAAGGTGCTGGAGAGCCATTCTAATCTCGCTCAGACTGACGTCCGGGATATCTTCGGAATAGTGTCGGATGAGACTCGCTCTTGGATCGTTACTCACACTTGCGTGTGGCTCCAACGATGACGTGTACAGCTGCCCATAGAACCTCTCAATCTCACTCAAAATCTCAGGTGTCCCGGAAACGATGCTGCCGCATTCTGTCTTCAGCTTTGACAGGTGGCTCTTTCTGGCAGACAGATCTCTGGCAAAGACTTTGGAGCCTTGGTTCCGCTCGATCGCTTCTTCAATACGAGCTGTATTGAAGTTGCGTAAGTCCCGCCGCATGCATTTGGAGATCTGTCTGTTCAGTTGCCTGTATGCTGTCAAGTCTGTTGAAGAATGTAGCTTCATCTCCCGTCTAACAGCTGAGATTAAGAGTGTGATCGGAGAGCCTTTGTGTTCTTCTGCGGCGGGTCTTGCAGAACTTAGCTCCGACCGCATGGACAGTTTCCACGAGCTTGTCATTCATATCGTCCACTTCATTGCAGTCTTCTAGGCACTGAAAACGGTTTTGTAACTCGAGCTGAAAGGTTTCGGGACTTTGGAACAGAGCACGAGGGGGACGGAGCGTTGACTTCATTAGACGAGACCTCTCCAACTTAACGTTTAGGTTCAGTGTGCCTCTAACCATTCGGTGATCGCTACCAGTTTTCACCCTCGCGATCACGGAGACATCACTGAATAGTTGTCGTCTGGTCGTCATAATGAAGTCAATCTCATTTTTTGTCGAACCGTCGGGGCTCGACCAGGTCCACTTCCTGTGGGGCCGCTTCTGGAAGAAAGAGTTCATCATAAAGAGTCCCTCTTTCTCCATGAAGTCGGCCAGCTGCTGGCCCCTTGGGTTCCGTTGCCCTATTCCAAATTTCCCTACTTTCAGCTCACCGCTTTCTCTTGTGCCTAGTTTTGCATTGAAGTCTCCCATTAACACCGTATATTGGGTTTTGGAGGAATGCATGGCTCTAGAGATATCCTCATACATTTCCTCCACCTCCCCATCGGGGTGTGCCGAGGTTGGTGCGTAAACCTGTATGACCTTCAGCGAATACCGTTTGGTGATTCTGAGTATAAGGTACGCAACCCTCGTCGACACACTCCCGATCTTTACAACGTTGTTAACTAGAGACTTGTGGACAATAAATCCGACACCTCCTTGGGACAGATGGTCGCCCTCCCGGTGATAGAGCAAGTTGCCGGATTCGAGGATTACCGTGTCCTCCCCCTCTCTTCGGACTTCGGATAATCCTATAATATGCCAGCGCGACTTGTCTATCTCTTCTTCCAGCTCCACGATCTTCTCGTCAGTCCTCAGGGTGCGTGCGTTGTACGTTGCCAGGTCGAGTCGTCGAAGGTGGCAACCGAACCTCCACCGGAGATTCTTAGCACCCCCTGCCCCGCCGTTACCATGGTCGCCACCGTAGCCAGGAATAGCGGGGCCGCCGGGGACTGGGGGCCGTCTCTTTGTTACATTCATAGGGGGGTATTTGCCATAGTTGCCACGCTTAGCGAGCGGGTTGGCAACCGCAGTTTTTTTATTGTAATTTTGGCTATTATCAGGAAGATGCTGCTGCCCATCTCCTGCCTGTTTCCCATTGTCGCCTTTTACGACACCCACGGGAGGATATGGGGTAGTGGTATTCTTGACCGCCACTACACGGCACGACGTACGTACGTATCGACGTATAATGTTAAGTAATTATGAACAGTAAAATATTTATATATAATCACTGTAGGAAATGTTAATGCATTAAAATTAATATTTTTTATTATTATTTTTATTTAATGGTTTCCTCGGCTGTGTCATGAAACAAAATAATCATGGATCAAATTTGTTCAGAAGAATTGCAGCGAAGAAACGTTAGATTATTCACGCATATTTTCCATGCAGTTCAAAAAAATGACAAATACACCGCAAAAACAGGAAGATTGTACTTCAAAAAACAAGCAGTACCATGCGACAATGTAATTATATAATTATATAACATTGCTGGGATTTTTGTTTTATTTTTTGATTAGACGACGAACGAATGTTTTGTAATGTTCAGTATATTTACGGGACTTAAGCGAGGCGGAAACCTCGGCGCCCGAGTCATTCTAGTATATGACGGTTTTTTAATACTGTAACACTAGAATTTTTGCAGGCTTCCCAAATAACTAGTATCTTTTTTTCAGCCAACAAAATGTGGTGAACAGGAAGTATCAGAACCGTTGTCTGAATCAATAAGCAGTACAAATTCAATTTTAGATAGTCCGAGCAAAATTGTACTTAAAAATAAATTACGCAAGTGATGTCTCCTAAGCTAAGTTGAGTGATGTATACGAAGCCTAAGCTTTTAAATATAGTTCTACCTTAATAACGGAATCAATAATTCTAGGTTATTATAAAAAGAATAAAATATAAGCACGTTGTAATATTGTGTTTGTATTTAATAGCATGGAATCTGCAACTAGAAAGAAACTTACTGAGAAATTTAAGACAAAATATTTATCTAAAGAAAAAATGTGCTTCTTACAAATCAATTGTAGAAAATTTGAAACATAAATTCGGTCTCAACTTAAATGCTGAGATTGATTTAATGGGTAAAGCAGAAGTTATGGAGTAACATAAATCTTTAACGAAAAAGAATAAACAGAGCACGCATTTATACACTGCATGCACCTTTACATAAATTCGCATTGATTTTACATTATTATTCACCAGCTGCATATAAATAGGTTAGAGAATGCTAGAAAAGTAATAATAATGATCTTTGAAAATATTTTTATATTCTACATATTTACCTTTTAAAGTATTAAATAAAATATAATTAAAATGTAATTCTGACATAATATTATGTTACATTATATTAACACATTATGCAATATAAATAACAATTTAAAAAATTGTACTCGATACAATTTACAAATACAATCTAAAAAAACATTTACTTATTACATACTGATCATTCTACCTACGTATATAATCTATGATGACAAAAACCGCGCATGCGCGACTGTACTATTTACCGCGCATGCGTGAAGACATAGAGTAGTGCACAGTTTTTGTTTGGAATAGCGTCTTCGTAGTACATTATATCTCAATGATTTTAAGTGTCAATTTACCACCTGTTTGGCAGTGAAGGAAAATATCGTGAGGAAACCTGCATGTCTGGGAAATAAGAAAAAAATATTTCGAAGACATATGATGTTAGCCAACACGCATTGTAGCAGCGCGGCAGGCACTTACTTACCCTAAAACCCTCTCAGAAATGAGAGGCCTTTGCTTAGTAGTGGGACGTATATTAGCTGTAACTTTAATAGCGGGGAAGTTAATTTATTCAAAAAATGTAAAGGTTAATGTTTCTTTCTGTATCATTAGTTATATTTTATATTAATAAAATTAAAAATAAATAAAACATACCACACATATTCGTAAAAGTAGAACAATTTCAAGAGTTAAAAATGTGCAAAAAATTAAAGAGCAATGCAGGTATTGTTTTCTGTATTAATTTTTTTTTTATAGGATAGGGTGATAACAAGCACACAGTCCCCCTGGTGGTAAGTGGTTGCTGTGACCCATAGACATCTACATTTATCCTCAATAAAGAATCAAAATGCAGATGCGTTATCACCCGTGAGGACTAAGATGGAATGCCTCTTTTATAGTAAAAAGAGTCTCCATTTCTCTACACTGACCATACGAAACACAGCGGTGTTAAGCTGCTATTTTACGCTGGTATTCTGTGAGAGCGTGGTCCTTCCCCGGTCGAGCCGACCCATTCGTGCTACAACTATACTACTAATATAGCTGCAGCATGGCTGTACCACGTGTAAGAACATGGTGCACAACTTCCTTGTGGAATCCGATTACCACGTGTACAATATAATACTCTAGAAACAGATAAACTTTTATTTAAAACCAACTTTTCAATTAAATGACATTGTGTAACAAAAAACTTCACCTCAGTGTCAACTAGCGACAACTGGTGAGCAGAAAATTATTAGCCCTCATTAACGGACCTTTAGCACAGAATAAATAATAGTACTACGTACAGAAGTTGCATTCTTTTGATGTTGACTACTTGCCGACGTTTTAATAGCCTACATAGTTATTATTAATCAGATAAATCGCGCACGCAAGCTAAATAATACTTTATCACTGCGCGCGAATGTCCGTATTACTTTGCATCTTTTCTCCTTACTACGTCACAACGGACTTTCGGTGGTTGCTAAGGGCTTAATAAAGAGTAAAAAATACATTGTGAAATGGAAAGTTACTTAGGTAAAGTACCTGTGCTGACTATAATCGACCATATGATCTACTATGTGAGTTCTGTGATGTCCAACGCATGCAACTTGCAAGGCCATTCGTCGGGAATCGCGATGCTTGGTTCGTAAAAGTAAATAGCGTAAACAACAAATAAACCGGAAATACGATACCTAACAGAAATATGATCGTAATTTACTTAGTTGAAAATGTTGTAAACAAAGTTTTAATTTCAGTATTTTGTGCTATTATAACTTAAAATATTTTAATTACAAAGAGAGTAGTATGTAAGTAAGTACTTGGGTAGTGAAGCAAATTTCAACTAAGTTTTATAATAAGGTACTTAGGTATTACATCTATAGTTAAATTATTACTTAATTATTTTTTCGCTATAAGTACCAATGTAACAAAAAAAGTTAAATAAATTTACCTTTCATTATCCTTCGGTAACTCAAAAAATTATATATATATGAATCGTTTTAATTGCTCATTAAGCATCCATCCCCGCAACAATTATAGTAGGAACGACATTTTGCCATTATAATTTATCAAATAGATAGGTAATATACATATATATTATTCTTAAATTAAATTAAAACTTTTTCAACTATTTTATCCTACAATTAAATATACTAAACACTAAACAAAACTATTTCGACGAGTATTTTTTTTTCTTTTTAAAAACGTTACCCCCACACTAGGATTTTCTCCTGTATCGTGGAGGCAGTTTACAAACACAAATTGCACAAGGACAAACATCCAGACTCGGAACAATTATTTGTAGGCCATACAAATATTTGTTCCGTGCGGGATTCGAACCCGCGCCCCCCAGCGCAGCAACTCATTGTTAAGCCACTGCGCCACGGAGCCGTCAAATTTCAACAAGTATTTACAAAAAATTATTTACGTAAACAGCATTAAAAAATCTTTAACATTCCATCGTAGAGCGCGCTAGCCCCGACTGCGATCTACCACTGGGGCAGCTCGCGATTGTAGGTAATTATTTGACGCAGGTAGAGCTCGTCTAAGCTGAAATGACGCGCCCCACTATCGCATTAACGCACACAAGCAAATTTAAAATATGGACGCAATACATATACAAATGCCGTTGTAATTGGTCATTCAGTTGCCGGTGAGACAGTATTTGCTAAGAAGCGGCTTTTCTTGGATTTTTTGTCCAACTTGTCATAATTGCCTGAAGGTGACAGAGAGCGGACGTTTTGTTTGATACAATGCCCCAACGCTGCTCCCTAAGAAGAGCGTTGTCGGATTTATCATGCGACTAGTCGACCGTCACGTAGGCATATAGATCATAGTTCGCGGAGCAGTCGACGCTCAAACACAGATGAAGCGTCGTTATTAATATTTGCACTCACACATCGAAATCAACTAATGAAGTAGTGGGGCGCGTCATTTCAGTTGAGACAAGCTTTAGCAAGAGTGACAGAGGCCTGCCTTTAGGTATTATTCAAGCAATAGGATCTGCACACCTGCCACCAAGTTCAAACAAAAACTAATATTTTAAAAAAAAGCAAGTTACCTGACCACACTTCTTGACCATAATATTGTCAGGATGCCTGTCGGCGATGCCCAGCACGTACGTGGCGACGCAGTAGCCTGCACAGCTCATGGTGAACTCTTCTACGGCCTTATTGAAACTGCTCTCAGTTGGATTTTGCTTCCTTAACCATTCTGCGACAAATTATTATTTGTAAGAGAAAGAGACAAAATATATCAAAAGCGTTTGAGATAATGGTCCAGTGCAACTCACTGCACATAAAACTTCTTTAGTGATCTTATACATAATCTACAGTGAACGTGTTAAATCTTATACTAATTCAACACTTTCACTGTCCGGTTTTCAGACTCAATAGTTCGACAATAGCAATGACGTATATGTAGTGCAGACAACGAAAGGATTAAATTATAAAGAAACTGTAAGTTATTCATTATTCCTGAGAAGATCAATACATAATTAACCAAATTAATATGCAATTTCTATGAAAGAACTTTAAACTAACTAATTAATAAACTAAAGACATTTACTATTCACGCCGTCGTCGCAAATATGCTAGCGGTTGTCACGAAATTGGAAATAAAATAATTTTGAATATTATATTATTCATTATGATATATTAACATTATGCACACACTTATAAAGTTAAAAACATTTATGGAACAAAATTACTTTTTATTAATACAAAAAAATATACATTTACAAGTGTTGCACTGCCAAATATTTACGTGACACTTTCTTTTTATAGATGTTTTTAGTTTTCGATTGTTAAATTTAATTATGTATTGTATTTTCATTCGGATAAACAAATTTATCAAAAGAAAAGTGAGGGAAATATAAGCATAGCCATCATTTTAATTCAACTTTACTTGGTAACTAATATAACAGTAATTAATCATTATAGATATTATATTTTTCTAAACCGGCAGTTAAAATTATTTAAATTAGTACTATAAAACACGTTCGCGCCAACCGCATGTTTTGTCTATCAGGCTCAGTGAAGTGCGCTAGCACAAGGTCGCGCCGCCCCCCGCCCCGCAGTGCCCCCACCGTTGCTCTGCACAAGTACATTCGTTCCGCAACTGTTAGGACTCTCTTTAAACTGTGCTATCACAGTAAAATATTTATAAATTGATTTTAAATTATTAGTAATAATTTAAATTAGGTATAAATAATTATATTCATAATTTGGAACACCTTTCTTGTCTCATTATTACACTTTGATCAAAACTAGCTTGCCCCATAGCTCTAGGGTAGCTAGGTGGTTTCCTTCCAAATGCAAGGAAAAAATTAAATTAAAAATACTCTTTTGGTCTTCAAGGGTGACATTGAATCTATTTTTTTTTTTTATATTTAATCGAGGATAGATGTGCTGCGTAGAGAAAGCTCGTTTGTCACCCTAAATTCTATGAAAATATGATAGTACAATTTTAATATAGACTTTTATATACCTCAAAACAGCATAATTTTTTTAAAATAAATATATGCACAAGAACTCACGAAACAGATTAGCCTTGTATATAGTGGAAGCGGCATTGAACAAGGCGCTCTGCTTCTGTATGTTGGCGACCGTCTCCGCGTCGTCTACGACTTCGATCATTCCCACAGCGTACTCCATGGATATACAGTTGTACGGGTTCAACCTGGAAGAAATTATTCAAAGTTACAATTTCTTTCCAAAAAAAAGTTACCCTCACTAGGATTTTCTCCTGTATCGTAGGGGTAGTTTAGATAGATAAATTTGACCAGGACAAATATTTACACCTGAAACATTTATACTTATTTCGAGCGGAATTCAAACCCACGGCCCTCAGTGCCGCAACTCATTGCTAAGCCACTGCGCCACGGAGCCGTCAAATTAACATTATTATGCACCTTAGAATGGGCAAGCGACGTTGCGGGTCCTGTATGTTTTCCAGTGATGTTTATACAGCTAGCCATGAGGCTTTAACACGTTTATAACAGTCAAAGCTGTACTTAACAACACGTTTCTGAACATCCGATTTTCGGGACGCGTTTTACTCATTCAGTATACGGACGAGTTATCACGCCGCCGCCCGAGCGACCCAGTAGTTAAATAAATTTTAATATTTTTTCATAAGTCATACCTAAAGTCGTATCCAGCGTTCTTCCACAACCTGTCCATAATCCGCAGCATCTGTAGCGTGAACATATCTTGCCGCAGATCGTCACCGATTTTCAGAATGATCCGTATGTCCGAGCCGGTGGGATCTACGTTTTCAAATTCTAACATCAGCGGTCGCATCTTGCTGTCCATTACCCGACATCGCTCTGGTCTGTAAAAAGTATTTTTCATTAGAATTATGCAATCAATCGCAGTGTCAGAGATACAGGGGCAATTACAACACAAGCAGGAACATGTTCAAGATTACCCTAACCGTCACATAAGATTCTATAGACCTCAAACTATCTCAAAAGAATACTGATTCCCGCCAAGCATGATTCATGATGCTATTTAAATTAAAAACCAATCAATTTAAGTAAAAAACATGGCTGTGTATTATGATCTTAATTGAATTAATAAAATCAAATTCAAACCAAAAAGAAACTTCAGGTCACTCAGCAAGCTATGGAAAGGGCTATGCTCGGTGTTTCTCTGCGTGGTAGACTTCGTAAATATGATATCGGCAATAGAACCAGAGTAACTGACATAGCGCATCGGGTCAGTAAGCTGAAGCGTTAATGTGCGGGCTGGGCTATCCATAAAGCTCAGAACCCACAACCGATGAGGCAAAAAGGTTTCCGAATGGCAGCTTAGTACTAGCCGACACGTCGTCGTCTACGTCGTACGAAGTCAAAATATTTTTACTTAAAATTGGCCTTTACAAAGCAAACTCAAGAAAGCTACGCCATCCTTTCAACAAGTCCTTGCTGCGGGAGACCTTGGGGTAAGAAGCAGCAAGAAACCAAGAACTAACAAACAAGTAGACTATTTTTCTCCTTACAATTACAAATTAACCTTATACTTTTTCAATTTAACATTATACATAAGTAAAAAAAAAAGTGTAAGGAAGCTCATTACGTGCACACATTCTTGTCACATTAATAATAATCTAATTTATAATCATTTTACATGTGCTTTGCAAGAAGACAAATCAATAACATTACAAGGATCTTGTTATTACAAGTAGTTAAATATCTAAACAAAAAGGAACTGCTAGTATTATGGAGCCTGTATTTTGGCACAGAAAGTTTAGATTTATTACGCGTGTTAAAATAATAGGCATCACTCATTATGACAAAGGCATTAAAATTATGTTTTTATTAAATAAATTTAATTTAATAAATAATATTATTCAAAATGAATTGTAATACAAATAATAATAAAAATATGAAGGCTTCTTTGTTTACAGTTGGTTGCAAAAGCAGTAGATAGACCAGCATGGTGAAAAGGATATTGTATGGTTGCAGCAGTCACCTCATGATAGGTTCTGTTCAAGAAGCTCACCGTGTCCAACATATTAGTGGAGAACTTATCATCCGATTCAATAATTTTCACCAACATTTTTTTTATGTAGTGGATTTTAAGGCTCTTTATTATGCTCTGATCCATTACATAAGATTGTACATAAGGTTGTATTCGCTTGTGATTTTGCTGCAGCAACTACTTATGATCACATGGATTGAGTTAGTTTGTCATTATTGTGCTCACACGGGGCAATTGTAACATAAATTAATGAAAACTATAATGGACATTTAAGTACTTCTAATCTCTAAGGATTTAACATAGAGAATTCAGTTCTATAGCATCAACTATTAAATGCTTGTTTGTTTGATCAAGTATTTTAGTATCTACAAATATCATTTCGTAATTATAAAAATAATTGAAGTGGAAGACTCACCCTTGCCCCATCATTGGGGTGACAATACTTTTTTGTAGTTACTTTGTTATTATCTCTGGTTTTCGACAAAATTGAAGGGATGATACTAATGTCAAAATATTTTAAGATCTATAAACGATTTGAACGTCCATTTTTGTGTAACAATGGGTTTTTTCCCACATGGGGCAAGTTTTCTTAGCAGTTTTTAAAAAATGACGTCTGTCGATAAAATAGTTGAAGCTTACATAGCTTAACTGTCGGTATAGTCAATACCGTAAGCGTTCCGGCGTTGTTCAATAGATGGAATTTAACCAAAGCAACGTGTTTATGCTGCATAATTTGAATTTGTTACAATTGCCCCAATGTCACACTTGCCTCGGGTGACCATACTTATATAAAAATAAAAAAACGACGTAATTAATAAGTAGACTAAAACTAATATTTCTTTTTAAAAGAGTAGTATCCAATCATATAATTATTATTCATTCACAATACTTACTTAATTTTCTTACAGATTAAACTAGGTGTTAGGGGTGACACGAATTCACACAGGGTTTCCATGCAATGTTGCTCCTGCAGATGCTGGTGCAGCGCTGCTCGAGCTTTTGATATTTCCTTCTTCTTTCGGACACACTGACTGGCCCCTAAAATGATAAATTTTAGAGTAGTTTATGTTAGAATATAATAATAATAGTTACGTAGAAAATACACAAAGAAATGCTTACATATTGTTCCGGTTCAAATATTATGACAATTCAGGTTACGGGATACTGGTAATATTAGGTGACTAACAGTCCCCAACATCAAGCTAGATATTAGCGATAACAATACAGGGTTATTTTTCAAAGAGTAGCCAAGTTTTAAACTTAACTTCAAATATATAAATAATGATACACCATTATTGCAGTTTTTGAAAATACGAGTAAATAAGGCATCATTTTACATGTGCTTGTCAAAAAGACAAATCAATAACATTACAGGGATCTTGTTATTACAAGTAGTTAAATATCTACCCAAAAATAAACTGCTAGTATTATGGAGCCTGTACTTCGGCACAGAAATTGAAATTATCCCAAATTGATTGTGATTTATGGGCAACAACGTTTTTACCTACCGATCGACCCTAAAGCTTCGGTCACACACAGAAAATATTCGCTGCGAGTGTATTCGCTGCGAATATTACTCGCAGCGACAATTCACTGCCAACACAGCTACACGTAGAGTACTACACGAGAATTATCTATAATATGTATCTTTTATATTCTTAAATTTTCTTTTCAATTGCTCTTGGGTTGCTATTTCGAATCCCAACTCAATTAATTCATCAAACAATGAAGGCATCTGCTCCCCATTTTTTCTATACACACCCAAGAAACGAATTATATTGTAATTTCCCCATTTTAGAGAATTGTTTATCGGTTGACTCATTTGATTGACCTACACACATGAAACGATCTATGCACAGGCGTGTAGTCTGGAGCGGAATGGCTACTCACAGCAAGTACCCTGTCACACAGCGAATTCTCGCAAAATCGAACATGTTCTTTCTTTATTACTGGTTTTCCGTGTACGTGATTTCTTAATTCTCGATACATTCAAAGACGTTGATGGTTCATACTCCTTAGATGAAGTCGAAATAGATACCAATTCTTCAGCATCAGTTTGATGTCTTTCTTCTATATTATGAATTTCTACAAAACTATCATCATCTTCTTTTAAATTACTATCTTCTTGCTCCCGTCGCGATTTTCGACTTCTCCTTGTTTTAACCTTAGTCTCCTCAATTTCTTCCACTAATAAAGCAGACTTCTCTTGAGAAAGTTTTGATTCATTCAGCAGCATATCCCAAGCTTGATCTTCATTTGTAATGATATCCGAAATACATTCCTCAGTTTTAGGATTAGCAAAAACTTTATTTGAGCCAAGTTTTTTCTTCATTGAAGATTTAAACTTGATATGGAGTATGCAAGCCTCTGTAAGTTGATCTTTTGCAAACGTCATAAAACCTGAAAAACTTGACCTGTTTAATTTTTCTTATAACATAATGTAAAATAAATACGCAGTCCGGTACATTCCACGAAGTATATTATACAGAAAAATCATGCGTTTATTAATTAAAATTACTATATTCAAGCAATTCCAACTGAAGTTAACTTTTTGAAGACTAGTCCTTGCAGTTAAATCTGCTATATAACTAGCCCATCATGCGCGGAACCTGGTTTATTTTATCTGTTATATTTTACATTCGCAGCGAATTTAACTCGCGGCGAATGAATCTAATCGCAGCGAATAGCCTGTCACACATAGCGAATTCTCGAGTATTCACTATGTGTGACCGAGGCACGAATGTGTGCGTGCGCAGTAATTTCATTTAAAATAATGCATTGCCACGCATTTTGAATTTAAAAGATAAAAAGGACAGAATATTTGAGATTCTTTTCAATTAATTTTTCCTCACCATTTGCCTATATCACTTATTCTGAACCTGAAGTCGTTGCAAATTTGGCCGGTCATTGCAAAATAACCCTGTATGTATTATTAGAACTATCACACCTCTGTGGTTTAACATTGCCCAAAGAGACACAGAGGTTCATCTGGTACAAATATAAAATAGGTCATATTTCTACTAATGGAAGTTGCAATATCTTCTGAGCATTTCCTTGTATATTTGTAAAATACTAGGCACTTGTGAGAGTTAGAAGATACACCATTAAATTAATAAAAATATTAATAAATCATATATTAATTAAAGCAAATTAAGCCTGAGTCACCTGCAATAAATAAATAGCTTGCTGAGCGACCTGAAGCTTCCTAATATGAATTGGGTATAATTTTATCATCGTTACAAGTTTTATGATATTACAATTTTACATAGAAATTATAAATTAGCTTTATACAATAGTTTATATTAAGCTTGCATTAATAATACCATCTTTTATTCTTACAAAATATGTAATTGTTGACATCTCAAGAATGCTGGCAAAAATTGACGTCAGTTGCTTGCCACCCGTATTTTATAATAATAATTTGATTCCGTTCTCTGACTGGGTAAAAAAATTGGGTCTATACATAGATAAAACGTTGAACTGGGAAAAACAAGTCACTGATGTCAGCCGTAAAGTCACTGCTGCCTTAAGATCGCTCTAACATCTGAAAACTTTCTTCCATACAAAACTAAGCATATGCTTGTTCAAACACTCATCTTGCCTGTCATTAATTATGCAGATGTTTGTTTCTAGACTTGAACCAAAATCTTCTCACTAAGGTTGAGCGCCTTCTTAATAACTGCATCAGGTTTATTTTCGGCCTTCGAAAATATGACGATATCTCTCAATTTCGTATTCGGCTTAAATGGCTAACTATCCGAGAAAGGCGCACTTCCAGAATATTGTCTGTTCTCTACTCCATTTTAAATGATTTGTACTCCCCTTCCTACCTTAAAGAAAAATTTCAATACCTTTCCTCCAACCACGACAAGGTAATGGTCCTCTTCAAGTAATCTGAAGATTTCAGGTCCACTCCATTTTACTGGCTTTATCGGCAATTCTTTTACTGTTCAGGCTACACTACTCTGGAACTCCTTACCTGAAGACATTAGGAAAGCACCAAACAAGATAGCCTTCAAAAGATTGGTCCGGGAACATCTCTCAAAAACAATGTTGTCAGCATAATACCAATACTGCTAACCTTTATCCAGACATATTATGTATATATATGTATTTATGTCTGTGTATATGTAAATATGTATTTATGTATGTGTATATGTATTAAGGATAATTGCCTTATTTTAATAGATGTTATATCTATATAAATTTATTATACTTAAGTCACCTGCCACTAATTTCTCACCACGCCTTGGATTGACTGGCAGAGAATGCTAACTGGGATAAGTCCGCCTATTGTAACCTTTTTATTTATTAGAACAATAAAGTTTTTATATAAAATAAAATAATCACATTAAAATTACATTTATTCAGTCGGTCCCCATTTTATCCTTTAGTACATTTTACAGTTTTTTGGGTAACAGTTCACTTCAAATCAAATGCCGATATACACCTTCCAAATGTACTGATAGTAAAATGATTATTTATATGAGTATTTCATTACGACTACTGCGGAGTAAGATGCGGTGATGAATTCTCTTATCACCACCATACGCGGATAACTCTAAAAGAAAATAAAATACATACATTTAAGTTTGTCGAGGCAAGTGATCTGGCGCATGAGGCTGTTGATGTGGTCCTGGCAGCCGCGGCAATACGCCTCCAGCATCAGCCCGAAGCGCACCGATACGGCGGGCACGTGCATCTCCGACCTGCCACCATACATACATATTACTTTCTTTCTTTATTAGGAACGTGACCGCCACATTAAGATTTTCTCTTGTATTATTTACATAAATAAATTGCACAATGACCGACGTTCTGATCAGGAACAATTATTTGTTATAAAGGAGACTCGCGCTCGGTACGTTTTGGATTACTCACGTGATATGAATTTAATTTTATAGCTGGTTAATAGTAATGGATAAGAATTTAATTCGGATTTTTGACTACTTTAGATATGGTGTAATTTCATAGATATACTTTTTAAATAACTTAAAGAAAGATATTATAATGCTATGTAAAGAAAGCAAATGTTATTTACATACAAATGAAATTGAAATATCTATTTGTAATATCGAAATATATGGCGTCTATTAATTTCAGAGAGTTATTTGTATTCTATTAAGACATGAATGAGAATTTTTAATATTTTTGTCTATCTGTCTGTCTGTTTGTCCGTGCTAATCAGAATTAGCCAAGAGTTATTAATGTTTAAAATTTTAAAATGTCATTCGAAACTATAGTGTTTTTCAGCATTCCATTTTCTATAAATTTTATATAAACACTCACCTCAAATGCCAAAAGAGAAAGTGCCCAATGGTCATGTTACTGAAGGCCCGTTGAAGCAAGAACACGGAGAGATCGCACATCAAGTAGGACTCGTGTTTCAAAGCTTGAACCAGTTGTAGTAAGTAGAGAAGTAGGTTTTCATCTCTGCATGAACATAGAAAGTAATCATATTTAAATATTGGTTCTATGGTTTAACTATTGTAAACAACAAACGAAAAGTTTTTAAAATATAAGTACTTTTTGTGTAAAACTTGACTGTATCAATGTAAATCTTATCTGCGACTAGGTGTGAGCGTACGCACTCAGCTGATTTGCGATGAGGTGTGAGCGTGTGCACTGAACTAATCTGGCACGAGGTGTGAGGGTGTGCACTCAAGTAATCTGCGAGGTGTGAGATCTCTGGGGTCTCACCTGATCTCGGCCAGGCACTTGACGGCGAAGCTGCGCACGGCGGCGTCCGCGTAGGCGTAGTCGAGCAGCTCGAGCGCGCACTCGACGCGCAGCAGCGGCCAGCCCGCCACCATGCGCGCCACGCTGGCCGCCTCCGCGCGCTCGCCCCACTCCACGCACGACAGCAGCTTCGGCAGCAGCTCCGGCGCCTCCACGCGGAAGTACTCCCTGCCCATTGTGAACACAACTTTTGGATAGAACGATAACTCGCCGCGTGATGGAAACATCAAAGAGACATTATTTTTTATTATGGGGCTAACACATGCATTTGTACTGTAAAAGCACATGTTGAATGCAACTAATTATACAGATTTGAGAATGCGTGTTAACGGACTTCACATGGCTATGTTTTTACACGCTTTTTGTTTCACCAAATACATGGTACCTAATATTGCAATCAACATCATTAACCTAGGATCGAACGCAGTTTATTTACGTAGTTTAAAATCGAGTTCTAAAACCCTCATCTATATGATATTATTATCTTAAAGGCCGGCAACGCATCTGCAATTCCCCTGGTGTTGCGGTTGTTCATGGGCGGCGGTAGTCACTTACCATCAGGTGAGCCGCATGCTCGTTTGTCCCCTCTCCTATAAAAAAAAAAGAAGATATAAATTATAATTATCAATCACACTCACCTAGAAGCCCAAATGTCTTTTTTCTCTTGTTCGTGCATCTCATACATGGGATCTTTTTCAGCCGTTGCTCGAAGCTGTTCAAAGTCCCGGCTGAGTCGCGCGATGACGTCAGGTGAGCCTAGTTCAATGTCGTCCGCGTAGGCTTTTACTGTTTCTTGTTTTGGGAACAGTATCGGGAACTGGCAGTCGAAACTAAAAACAATATGTATGATTTAGTAAATCAAACACATATAATTTTTAATTAGAGAAATGGACCATTGAGGTTTTAACACGTGCTTAGTACTGTGCATGCATGTGTATCTGTGTAAAGTACTTAATTTTGTACGTGGTAGAGCCATGCTGCAACTATATTAATAGTATAGTTGTAGCACGAATGGGTCGGCTCGACCGAAGAAGGACCACGCTCTCACAGAATACCAGCGTAAAATAGCAGCTTAACACTGCTGTGTTTCGTATGGTGAGTGTAGAGAACCGGCGACCCTTTTTACTGGAAAAGAGGCATTCCATCTTAGTCCACTCGGGTGACAACGCATCTGCATTTTGACTCTTTATTGAGGATAGATTTGGATGTCTATGGGTCACAGCAACCACTTACCATCAGGTGGACTGTGTGCTCGTTTGTCACCCTATCCTATAAAACAAGTGGGCAATAATTTAAACAGATATTAATATGGAATAAGCCATTTATTGTAAATACTAATAATAGCTCGAAGGACCAAAAATCATCATAATCATCTCATTATAAGCCTTTCACAAGTCCACTGCTGAACATAGGCCTCCCTATTTGACAGCAAATAAAAGTATTTGATGTAGAAACCTAATAACTCTACATTATATCATGACATAATAATATATTATGTATTTTATCATCATCATCATTACAGCCTATCAAAATACCAGGATTTCCTAATAGGGCAATATATAATATTTTAATTATTATCGACTTTGATTTCATATGTGAAATAAAATTCATTTGTTTAAATATTTAAATTTTTTAGTAACAAACAGGTACTTACCTATATTTATTAACGTTACAACATTGTGATACAGCAGGGAGATCTCACGAAAGAAACAGCCGACAATTTAACAACAACTAAACTAATTTAATTTTTTTTAGTTTAAATTAACTCTTGTGCCAATTACATAATAAGTATTAAAAATGCATTTTAGTTATACATAAGGAATACAGAAGTTCATAATCTGAAAATTTTCGACCACTATGACTCTGCGCATCAGCAAACACTGTTATGCGTAATTTAGTGCAGTCGATACGAACTTGCACTCACTCAGAGTATTGAATAGTGATTATGAAAACGATAATGATGGCCACAAAAGAGAGTTGCACCTTGCAGCCACTTAGCATAGTTACAGCACAGCACAGAGGTCGATGTTTGCGTTAGAGACAACGCTACCCCAACGTTCTCTCGTTCGTGTTATATAGTGATGGGGGGAGGGGTGCACCTTGCACTCACTTGGAGAAGCGCACTTGCAGCGCTGCGCAAGAGTCTGTGTTGGGGTTGGAGACGACAGTGCCTAGCGGGTGAAGTAGCCAGTCATCGCCCTGTGTTTCGTCAGCCACGTGCGTCCACATGAACAGCGTCAGCCCGTCCGTACGTAGCTGCTCCTTATAGTCAAATATCATCGTGTTCGCCCACGCCAACTTGTTGATAGAGTCCTGTTAACAATATGTTTTAACGGGTAGTTAATTTTGTACCTGTTTAAATGATCAATAAACTATAAAAGTAGTTACAGCCTAAATACGCCCTAATAACGGGCATACGCCTCTTCTCATTTCTGAGAGAGTTTTAGGAAAAAGGAAATATCCACCGCCTGCCTTAATCAATGTGTATTGGGGGACTTTATAGTATGTCCCGGAAATATTTTTTTTTTTGATTTCTCAGACATGCAGGTTTCCACACGATGTTTTACTTCACCTCGGGAGCGAAGGTATGTGGTAAAAATAAAGTATAAAAAGTAAATAATAACAAGTACAATTAAGTTTAAATAAATAAATGATCATTAACAGCCTTTAATTTGCTAATTAGTAGAAGCTGACTAATGCATCTGATTCACGGCGCTAGTGCTGATGCTAATGCCCTACTACTTCCTCCCCAAAAGCAATTTAAAATCATTTTTATTTTAGTTAACTGACAAACCATCATACAATTTTTTAAATATACTTTCTGGTCGACTGTTTTCATACATTTAAAATTCATTTCAAAGGAAACTCAATGATATCCTATTATAGAATTTGATTTTTTTTTAAATACTACACACCTTAGAGTCTTTCCCCCTCCGTTTTCCTTTGGTCTTGGATATTTCATATATAACAAAACAAAGCCTTGCCATTCGGGGCATATTATAAACTTTGATAGGAAACGTGAGCTCTTCGTCCCATTGCGCCACGCCTTCTTTAGAGACTGCTGCGACTCGCGTCTTCTGAGCTTCACATAACGCCTTGCCTCCATGAAAGATGCCAGCTTGACACACAACCTGTGTAGAACAGCAATCGAGACTATAAAACACTTATTATTATTTACCATCAACCTGTATAAGTCTGGACCCGAAGAATTCAAGTTGTCTTCGTGAATTACACCTTCATATTTTAGCAATATTATGGCTTACATATATTGTAAATGTGCGTGTTTAACAGTACCACAATATGTATCACCATCATCACTACAGCCTTATCATAAGCCCACTGCTGAACATAGGCCTCCTTCGTAGATTGCCACAAAATACCGCCCAAAGTCACCTGCATCCATCTCCTACATGAATATTTACGACAGGTCGTTACTATATTGAGGGATCGCCCAACACTGCGCTAGACAGTATGAGACTGTCGGTTTTTTGAGCAATATTGTCGGACTGGTGCCACTTCACCCTACAAATCTGCTGGGCTATGTCAGTTATTCTTGTTCTTCTGCGGATATCCTAGTTACAGACTTTATCACAGAGAGCACCTTCAAGCCCCCCCCCCCTCTTCTACCCATCGCTCGCTGAATGCTTCCTACGGGCAACAGTTGATGACCACATTATTTTTGTTTCAAGATTCTGAGGTATATAGGACAAATGGTAGATGTCTTTTCAATATAGGTCAGAACTCTGGATATCAACAAACCTCCACAAGTCGCCCGGGATCCACGTTCAGTCCACCTACACTCTGCACCATGCAAGTGTAGTTTTTGTCTATATTCCAAGAAGATTCATGTTGGCTCTTCTTTTTACGTATAGTAGCGTAATCTGGTGGCAGTGGCCTCCTTTCCACAGGGTTATCACAGCCGACTGAAAAGACATTGAACAATACAAATTTACTTATGTTATTGATTTGATTTGAAAATATTTATAGCAAATAACCGAATTGATAATTTTTACACACAAAGAATTCTTTGAAATTAAAAGAATACAGCCTATTTTAACCGGGGAACAAACTACTCACGTGTTAATTTGTCTATGCTCACGGTCATGACCTGCGGCACGCCATCTTTCGCGAGCATCTCTTGTATATATAGGAACTGGATGAGTGGCTCCTTCCCAAATAAGTACTCCTCGCGACCGCAAACCTTCAGTACGTAGTTGCGAGGGTCTTCCCCCCTCATGTTAAGGGAATTCACCTTTTTCTTTAATATCGTGTCTATATGCTGTTGAGGTGTACGTGATACTGGCACGTTTGACGTAAACGAGAACTGTGGGCAAAATATTTATAAAGTAATTACTTTGCACCTTTTTAAATGTTTTTTAAACGTTACCCCCCTCTCTTATCCTCGAATATAGTTAGAAGGATATTTTCTTGTATCGTGGAGGCGATTAACATATATAAATTGCATAATTACACACATCCAGACTAAATACAATTATTTATAGATAGTAAAAATACTTGTTTCGTTCGCGATTTCTTTCTACGATCCCGCTGCGCCGCGATTAACGGGTTAGCCAATGCGCTATGGAGCCTTCAACGTTGAATATAACTGTTCATGTGTTAAAAAAAAACTATATTTACGTGTAACAGTATTATCGATATATCAAGATATACATAAGTAGAGACAGTCGCCGTGAAACGATAGGGAAAAAGTTTTTTGTGTGGCAGCAACGAGGCATCGCAATTTGGCGGCTTTCATTTAGATAAGAGTAGAAGGTCGTTTGAAACAAGTATGAAGTCGATGAATTCGTGTAACTTATTTTGGAGAAATTTTTAGGAAAAATTATATTCATGATGTTAATCTATACATATAAATAAAATTAAAGTGTATGTCTGTAATATCGGAATAACTGCCTTTTATCGAGTTAAGGCTCAATAACTCAGCAATCGAAAGACAGTTATTAGTTATTTGCATACCATTAAAACATGAGTAAACATTATTAAAATTTTTATGTATTGTTTGTCTGTCTGTCTGACGATTGAAAGAAAGAAAGAAAGAAAAATATTTATTTGGTACACAATCGTAAAAAACACTTAAAAGACATAAACACAGTAATTAAGTTACAAAGAGAATAAAAATATTTTATGCTATTAGTGCACCAAAAAGGTTTCCACTCAGCGTTAAATTCACGAAGTTTAATAATAAGAAACTTCATGAAAGCTGATTTTCAGTGGAACCTATATATAAGAAGGTAGATGGCGATAACGTCAGCTTACACAAATATCTTAAAAACCAAGTAACAGATCTCAAAATATGAAATAATGATAGTAAAAACCAAAACAACAAGGTTATAAAAATCATAATAAAAACAAACAAAGGTACATATGTGTGTGTGTGTGTGTGTGTGCAAGTGCGTGTGCGCGTGCGTGTGTGCGTGCGTGTGTGCGTGTGAGAGAGGGATGTGGAGACAGGGATAAAAATTGGAATGAAATGGGAAAAGGATTGACTGACTAAACTATTGTAATGAAACTTCACGAACAGATATAGAGCAATGCTGCGAGTGATCTAAGCTACATTTTATCCGAAAAACTTGGAAAACTCATTTTCAAGAAATTGAAAAACATAAAATATTAATAAGTTCAACAATCATTTATCTTTCTCACAATGTGCTTTTTATCTCTTATATGTACAATATGATTGCTACATACAATTTCATGCGACAAAACGTTGAAATCTTAATTTTTAAGCCCTAGTAGAACATACCGGCGCGCCTAGCGCTTACGGCATGCAATATATGGTTATTGATGATTATCTTAAATCTAAATATGAAGTAATAAACAACATAGAATTCACCCAAAAGATGTAGGGGCGGGTCGCTAGTAGTTTATATATAAAAAATATTTCTTTTAAATATTAAATTATTTTCCCATTTTATAACTTCCACTGCTGCCGTGTAGCGGCGGTGTGATACGATCTAACAAACCCATTTCATTGGAAGGACGACGCTCTCACAGAAAACCAGCCTAATTAGCAACATAAGCGTCAGTAGCCTAATGGCAAGGCACGGACCGCGAACTCGAAGGGTCGTGGGTTCGAATCCGCCATTCGACTACTGTTGTGTACCACTTCTAACACAAGCATTTTAAGCTTACCAGAAGTGGTTAAAGGGAATATTAGAAATGTTTAATAGCATTACTAGTATTTTAATAAAAAAAATGCTGTTGTGCTTCACATGGTTCTTTGGTAATGCCATCACAAGCCAAACTTAGCAGTTACGAAATCCCACTAATCCTATGAACTGCGCCATGTCATACTTCATGATTGGGGAGGCGTTAATAAAAGACCGTAATTGATCTTAAAGTGACTTTATTTTCTACCCCACATGCAAAACATAAAATATAAATATTCAAACCAACCACATATCCTTCCTAAAGTACGAGAATCTCACGTCCAGTATTTAAATAGTAGGGAGTAATGATTTTTTTTTTATATGATAAGGGTGACAAACGAGCACACAGTCCACCTGATGGTAAGTGGTTGCTGCGGCCCATAGACATCTACATCTATCCTCTATTACAAATCAAAATGTAGATGCGTTGTCACCCGTGAGGACTAAGATGGAATGCCTCATTTCCAGTAAAAAGGGCCTCCGGCCACCTGCACTCACCAAGCGAAACGCAGAAGTAAACCTCTACTTCACGCTGGTTTTCTGTGAGGTCGTGGTACCACCCCGGTTCGAGCCGGCCCATCCGTGCGACAGCAAAAGCTGCCGCGTGGCTCTACCACTGTTACATTTCTTGTATTTACGCGAACACTACACATTGAATAAAACTACTTTTACGGATTTTATCGCGTTTAAATGAAATTAATTGAAACGTCGGTACTTTAAAAATAAGAACAAATAAACGCGATAAAACCCGTAAAAGTAGTTTTATTCAATAGCAGGGAGTAGTTAAGAGAAAGAGAAAGAAGAATCCACCACTGGATATAAGTATTTTCAAGCTGCAGCAACTCAACAACTAAAGAGCTAGACTTAATCAATAGCTCTTCGGCGGTTCGACTTTTTTGAATGGATTGACTGCATTTAAAAAAATTGTTCATATAATATAATAAAGCGCATGTAAAGTCTACAAATGTGTTTAATTAGCGTTTATCGTTTTCATAATGCCAGCTCTACATATTCGTTCAATCTTTCAATAGCCACACCGGGCGCACGGGTTCGCGCGGCACCCTCGATGTGCGGGCTCGCGAGCTTGGCCTGAGTAGTTTGCCCGAAAACACAAAGGTGTGCCTTGCGAGACAGGCCGAGCAATCAGAAGCACCCGAGCATCCAAAATGGACAGTTGTGTAATTTCTGCTGCAGCTAATTTCATAGCAGCTTATTGTTTAAGGAAAAGGATACAGTCACGTTTTAAAAAAAAAGACCAGGACGCTTGTGGCTTAAAAAAACTTTATGAGCACCGCAATCGATACTAAAATAGATTACTAAAGGATTTGACATTGCATTTCTGCTAAATATTGCTTCCAATTGCTTCGCTCTGAGTTTTCCAAATAATTAGAATCTTTGAGATGCCACAACATCTCGTATGCACTGTATAATTGAATTAGATGAATCGACTGCTTTCGAGTGTTCATGACGATGAAACTTTTACGTAAGAGCTACATAAGAAACAACAACACGTCTGTAGAAAGCCTCGCGAGCTGAAACCACCGTCCGCATCGAACGAACAGCTCCATGAGGCACCTTTGAGCGCGTCCCGTTTACCGACATCCGACTGCTCGATCCCGAAGCACGCTCAGCCGAGGCAACGCTCAAAGGACCCCGAGGCATGTCCACACAGATCGAGCATTTGGCTCACAATGTTGCCGCGCGAGTCCGTGCACCCGGTGTGGACGCGGTTAATAAACTCTTAGAAATTTGATTTGTTCAGAGATGATCCGACCTTAACCTACGTAATATCCTCTAGATCGAATTTCGATCACGACGGCCAGTCAGCCATTTCCGCAGGACAGGATTACAGTGCTAGTGTGTGCGCAAGCACAGACAGATGCACTCTTTATTCCCTCACTCTCATAGTGCGAAAGGACGGAATAGGACACGACCGAATAGATCAAGCGAAGGACTAACGGCTTTATATGCTTTCCTGACTCCGGGCTGCTATTAAAAATGGCTTGAAAAAAAAAATTCGAAACTTATTTTTGTTTCAGGCCCGACACGGGATTCAACCGAGACCTCATGATCAGCAGCCGCATTTACTACCTCTAGATTACTTTAAAGATTCTATTTTATGAGTAATATTTTTTACAATAATCCATTTTATTGACATAATATTATGTAACACGCTATTTTACTAAATAAAAGTAAAAAAATTAATTATAACTAAACAAAACAAAATTGAACTGCCATTTACATTCCATGGCTTCCCACATGATAGATGAAGAGTTTTATTGATATTTTCAAAAGTTATCGTGTTTACAAAGACCGCATACTTGATAAATCCACACCATTAGCCACTAAAACCCCTTTTTTATGTAAAAATAGCAATTAATCGATTTAAAAAATATATTAATAAGTTCAACAATCATTTATCTTTCTGACAATGTGCTTTTTATATCATTTATATGTATGATATGATTGCTAGATACGATTTCATGCGACTAAACGTTGGAATCTTAATTCTTAGGCCCTAGTAGAACATACCTCGCGCTTTGCGCTTACGGCATGCAATAAATGATTAAATCAAATATAAAAGTAAATTTGAAATGTCTATCTGTATATTTTATCCCAAAAAGTTAAAGCTTTTTTTAATGATTATCTTAATAACGTCCACTATTATCTTAATAACGCCGATTTAACAGATCCTATCTAAGCGAAGGCAGGGCGGGTCGCTAGTCTTTCATAAAAGTAATCGACAATTAACATAATATTATAATTAGAGTAAAGGTGTTTTGTAGTTCAACGGGACTTCATATCATGCGGAATGAAAATAAAGTAGAGGATATGCTAAACTTATAAATATGTAATACTATATAGGTACATATGTAAACTATTTTATTTTAAAAAAAGCTGACAAAATATATTGACAATTTAAATCACGTCAAAAGATAGTGTCAATATTAAAAACTAAATAGTAAAATTAAATACATATATTATTATAAACGGAAATGCTGAAATCTCATTTTAACTTAACCCAAAGGGACAAAGAAGGCGAGGAAGTAGAAGATGAATATGAGTCTAAGAGTGAACACAGCAAAGAAAACGAGCTGCCTAAGTCGGAAAGAAGGCTCAACAGATCCGAAGTCAGCGTTCGTCTCAGCCATCTTGGGAAGACGGCAGATGGCGATGGGTACTATGAAAATAAAGTTAACAGCCTCCCGCCACTGCTGGTGACAGGTCTGCTTTCATTCCTGAGAGGGTTATGAAGCAGTTAGGCCACCAGTAGAAGCTGGTATAATATAAACAGTAACTAACTGATACAAATACAAATATCTATACAGTAACTAACTGGCCAGGCGGGCGTGGTTCTGCCCTTTTTAACCGACTTCAAAAAGGAGGAGGTTCTCAATTCGACTGTATTCTTTTTTGGATGTATGTTACACGATATATTCGCAGATCGTGAATCGATTTTAATGATTCTTTTTTTATTAAATAGGCTTTACCCCAAGGGTGCTCCCATAAAACTTTAAAGAAAAAATTCCGCATCCAAGGGTGGCAATTATCCTATTATATATTATATAATATTGTTTAAGGAATTTCATATAATATATACGCAGATTGAGAACCGATTTTAATGATTCTTTTTCTATCGACTTCAAAAAGGACACGGTACTCAATTCGACTGTTTTTTTCTCCTTTTTTTATGTGTTATGTTATGAGGTTAGCTTTTTTCTGGGTGAACCTATTTTGATGATTCTTTATTTGAAAACTGGTGTTTCTCATGTGGTCCCATATAAATTTGATCAAGGTTTGACCAATAGTTTTTGAGTTATTCTTAATAATTTATATTGAAGTCGGTTATAAAACTGTTTAATTTTAAATTATTTATTAAATAGTTTATACTTCAAAGGTGGTCCCGTATAAATTTGGAGAAAAAATTCCACGCTTAAGGGTAGCAAATAAATAATTTCTTTATTAGCAATTTGAAGTCAGTTTTTACTTTTTGTTAAGTTATAATTATCGACGACCCTTTAAAAAAATCCTGTAATATTTCCTGTAAATAATAACCAATTGAGGGTCACTTATCGGGATAAACACTATTCTGTTTGTTAAGTTAGAGCAAGTAATACACATTTACAAAATTTCATTAAATTCGGTTAAGCGGTTTCGGAAATTAGCGTGAACGAACATCGTGACACGGGATTTTAATATATTAAGATTTTGATGAATAATTCATAACAACAATAATTTAAAATTAAACATTTTGTACAACAGACTTCAATATATATTATTAAAGATAACTAAAAAACTATTGGTCAGACATTGATCAAATTTATATGGAGCCACATGAGAAGCACCAGCTTTGAAACAAAAAAGAATTATCGAAATCGATTCACGTAGAACAAAGTTATGAGGTAACACACATTAAAAAAACATACAGTCGTATTGAGTACCTCCTCCTGTTTGAAGTCGGTAGACAAAGTGGCGACTACGCCATGCAAGAAGCTGATGGTATTAAGGTGTTGTTGTGGTGTTCCTTGACGGAGTTCTATGATCAGCAGTAGGTTTATGATGTGATGTAATGATGATGATGAGTCACATGAATAAAAATTTGAAATGATCACGGCAAAAGCTTACATTTACGAACAAAAATTATGACAATTACTTAATATTGATTTTATGAAAAATAAAATATTTTACTAACAACCGCTAATCCTTTTGTAACATCTGCATATTAAAACTGCTGTTATTTAAAACAAAATGTAGTTAGTTCAATTCCAAACCGAAGCAAATATTTTAGTAATATAAAACATTGTTGCTCTTGTTTTCGACGTGGTAGAGCCATGCTGCAGCTATATTACTGGTATAGTTGTAGCACGGATGGCTCGCCCCGATCGGAGAAGGACCACGCTCTCACAGAATACCAGCGTAAAATAGCAGCTTAACACTGCTGTGTTTCGTATGGTAAGTGTAGAAGACCGGAGGACTTTTTTACTGGAAACGAGGCATTCCATCGTGTGACAACGCATCTGCATTTTGATTCATCATCGAGAATACATGTCGATGTCTATGGGCGACAGCAACCACTTACCATCAGGTGGTCTGTGTGCTCGTTTGTCGCCCTTATGCTATAAAAAAACCCTTTTTGTTCTAAACAGTTTGGAACTAGAACACAACAGAGTGACTGACACAGTCAAATAAATAAAAAATAAATAAATAATATGAAATGCTACACAGTCTCTAATTAGACTGCCTCTCTTACCCCTCAAACCTCGACACAGAAGTAAGTGCACTGCCGCTAACGGCAGTACACTTCTGTGAACTCTACTCAGAACTGTAGTGTTATCAACCTAGACACGACTACTAGACAAAAACGAGTCCTACCACTTACTAAAGCTTTAAAATGCAGTATAAGTAGCTTTCAAGTAATTTAACTTCTATAGGATAGGGTGACAAACGAGCACAGAGTCCATCTGATGGTAAGTGGTTGCTGTGACACATTGATATCTACATCTATCCTCGTTTGCAAATCAAAATGCAGATATGTTGTCACCCGTGAGGACTAAGATGGAATGCATCTTTTCCAGTAAAAAGGGTCTCCGGATCTCTACACTCACCATATGAAACACAGCAGTGTCAAAATGCCATTTTACGCTGGTATTCTGTGAGAGCGTGGTCCTTCCCCAGTCGAGCCTACCCATTCGAGCTACAACTATATTACTAGTATAGCTGCAGCATGGCTCTACCATGTATAGAATTAATTAGGTAAGCTTACAAACACCAAAGTCGAATATCAGATTCGAACGACCTGAGTTTGCGATTCGCACCTTCAGTGTTTACATTCTTACTGTACTTATAAGACTGTCTCGTTGGTGTAGTTGTTGTAGTAGTGCGACTGCCGATCATGTGGTCCCGGGTTCGAATCCGTCGGGCAAAAAAAATAGTTACTGAGCTTTTCCATCAAAGAAATTCTCAGTAACTGCCCGGAGTCAGGAAGTTGGCGGTGTCTCACCCCCGTGCTTCGGAAAGCATGTAAAGCCGTTGGTCCTGCGCCTGATCTCTCTCCGGTCGTGTCAATTTACCGTCCCATCGGACTATGAGGGTGAGGGAATAGTTTAGTTTACGACGGGCTGTTTTCCGCAATTCTACGTCTATGCGCGTATTTTGCGTGTGGGTAGGAATAATGTAATTATTCGAGCCATGAGATCTCCTTGAAGAAGTTCAACAGTACTTTGATGTTGCATGCAACTTCAGGGAGTGATCCTGGCATGCTGTTTATTTCAGGCAGGGCCTCCCTAGCTTGTCTACAGTCTACTAGATTTTTCCAAAGATGAGCTTGTTGATTAGTGAAGTGTTTACATACCAGTGAACGAATGTTACCAAAGGGGATTGGTATGATTGATTCCAGCCCTATAGTGGCCAGAGCCAATCCTCTTCTGGCCAGTTTGTCTGCTGCATCGTTGCCTCTGAATCCACTGTGTCCCTTTATCCATTACAGAGTCACATTGTTGCTTTTACATACCTCATTTAATCGTTGATTTCATTCATATATTAGTCCCGAGTTCACCACATTGCAACTCAGAGCTTGTACCGCCCTACGAGTGAGGGAATAGAGTGTGCACCTATGCTTGCACATACACTTGTGCACTATAATCCTGTCCTGTGCCAATGGCTGCTCTTCGTTCAGGCTGGCCGCCGTGACCGAAATTTGGTCTGGTGGACATTATTACATAAAAGACTTACTTGTTGTAATAAATTTAAATTACTAGCAATAAAAAAGTGTAGCTGTAGTCGAAATTGGCCACATTTATTTGAAATTATTAGAACAAATATCATAAAAAATGATCGAAACCTTTAACCCTTTGAATAATATTTATCATTTCGTTTTCAGTTATACATACCTCAAAGCGAAATGCACGGGCATGCATTTGACTGACATAAGTGCAATAGTTAGTTTCAAGCACCTGCAATTCGTCGACGTCTCGAATAATTTATTAACCACAGAGGCGTTACAGGTCGTAACAAAACTACCGTTTCTGGTCCTAATACACGCCGACAAAAATAGACTGGATTCAGCTTCATTAAAGAAGGCAAAATATCTACAAGTTATTATAATGAACTATAATAACATAACGTCCGTTAATGATGTTTATCAACCGGAATTAAGTACATTGGAGGTTGGTTACAATAAAGTTGAAAACATTGCCTTTAAGAATAGAATGCCCACACTTAAATGTCTAGATTTCCGTTATAATCTAATTTCAAATATATCAGACCTCAATTTTCCTAACTTGGATAGTTTATATTTGGCGGGCAACAAGATAAAGAGTCTTATTGGACTTGAGAAACTGATCAATCTGCGAATATTACATGTGCGAAATAACCCAATAGCATCACTAAATGGTTTCGATTCTGGTCTAACAAAACTAGAGTATATCAACCTACGGAACTGCAAGGTGGGAACATTGAAACAAATTAAAAAACTGCAGGTAAGATACATGTTATTTTTTGGTCATACTCCCTTTTTTTTATTAACAATCACAATCTTTCTACAATTATTTCTTCTGCAGCAACAACGTGCCTGGGCACGAACTAGTACCAGGCAGTATTTTCATAAAAATAAGTTGCACTTTTGGAGTTAACACGTTTAAATGTTTTCAGTGTTTAAAGGCACTAGAAATATTAGTAATTAAAGGCTGTCCCTACATGGGTGGTAATGGTGAAGAAGGCACAGAGGTGACCGAGGAGGATGATGGTCAACTAAGAATTGAGGTGCTAGCAGTACTGCCACGTTTGAAGAGACTTAACAAAGATGTAGTAACACCAGAAGAAAGGTAAATACGAAACAAAGTAGCTCAAAGGCGTTTTGTATGGTGACTGTCTGCCTCCATTTGGACGAAAATAAAATTTTCCACTAAACACCAGTAATACACAAAAGTTTTAAACTCACTGTTGGGCTTAGGTCCTATTTCTGAGATAGTTTTTATGATAAGGAAATATTTTTTCACAGATATGCAGGTTTTTCTTCACCGCTAAGTATGTGGTAAATCGGCACTTACAATTGAAATGAAAGAGTTTTATTGGTGCCGCCGGGGATCGAATCCGGGTTGCTCGCATTATTTGAAATTTACGGCGAGCGCTTAGCCCTTAAACAAAAAGGTCTTTGTAGCTAAGGTTAATTATTAAACAAAGGAAACAGTAAACGAGTCTTGTACTGTATACATAAACTTATGTACAAAGTTGTATCCACTATTATGCTATTTAGTTTATAAATATCAAACACAGTACACAATAGGACATGGGTATCTTTTAGTGTAAGGAACATTTGTCTTAACCATCAGAATAGATGAGAACCAGAAGTACACTTTAGATGCTGCTTCTTGTGGCCAGTTTTAATATATTACTTCTAGCATATCCCCTACCAGGAGCAGATCTAACAGAGCAAAGAGATAGCTCGTGCATCTCACAAAAACAAGTATTTCATGCTGGAGTGCAAATATGAACTTTAATTATTAAATAGACAAAGTTTAGAATCATATCAGATCTTCTGGGCATTTTCCTTAATCGCCTTTTATGACATCTATGACAAAAAATGGTGATGGATTCTTGGGAACAAGATAAACATGACATTTCAAAGGCTCAATAGCACAGTGGCTAAACATTTAATTGTAGCACTGCAGGCTGCGAGTTCGAATCCCGCACGGACCAGGCATTTGTATGGCCCATAAATATTGTACCGGGTCTGGATATTTATCTATGTCCACAACACAAGAGCAATTCCTAGTGTAAGGTAGCATAATGTTTAAAAAACTAATAAACCCCAGGACTGAAGCCAAAACTCTTATGACACATTTGCTTGAGGAAGATGAAAATGATGAAGAAGAAACAGATGAAAAAGCTGAAGAAGAAGAATACAAAAACGACATTTAAATATTTCTTTTATAAATTGAAATAAAATGTTTGTGTATACTCTTATTTATTATTTCAAAATGATCATAAGGAGCCAATAATTATCATCATCATCATCATTACAACCCTTCACAAGTCCACTGCTGAACATAGGCCTCCCCCAAGGAATGGCAATGCAAAGCCTCCTGGGCCATCAGCATCCATCGACTTGTCGTCACTCCATCTAGTGGGGGTCACCCTACATTTCGCCTACCTTTTTTGAGAACTTTTCTGCCGCATCGGTTGTCGGTTCTTTGAGTTATGGCCGGCCCATTGCCATTTCAGCTTACTAATCTGTTGGTCTTTGTCCTGTAAGTCTGGTTCTACTGTGGATATCCTCATTTCTAAGATTATCACGCAAAAAATCTTCGACCATAGCCGTCTCTATAGCTCACTGAGCGATTTTGAACTTTCTTATACGGCCAACAGTGAAGGATTACGTCTCAGATCCATAAGTACGCACTGGCTACACACACTGGTTGTACAATTTTGTTTTTAAGTTTAGAGGTATACCTGACGAAAAAATATGCCGTGATTTCCCGAACGCTGCCCAGCCGAGTTGAATCCGTTGATTGACCTCTTAGTTGAAGTTGGACTTACCTAGTCAGACTATTTGTCCCAGATAAACATACACGTCAACAACGTCGAGCTTAGTGCTCCCATCAAATACTGGCATATTTGTGACATGGATGTTACCCATGATCTTTGTTATGTCCATGTTAATTTTAAGACCTATCCATTGGGAAGCACTGAGGTTATTGAGCATAGTGATTGGGTCCTCCAGCGATTCTGTTATAAGGACTATATCGTCGGCAAATCGAAGGTGAGTGATGTACTCGCCATTTATGTTAATACTGTATCCTTTCCAATCCAATAGCTAAAAAGCCTCTTCCAAAGCAGCAGTGAAGAGTTTCGGGTATACAACGTCACCCTGTCTTACACCTCTCTGCAGTTGGATAGGTTTCATACTCTGGTTCTGTATTCGGATAGCCATTGTAGCGCTACTGTACAAACACCTCAACACTTCGATATACCAACACTCAACTTGGCACTTGACTGTAGCACCGATCAATAGAATCAAAGGCTTTCACATAGTCCAATCACGCAAGACAAAGTGACAGACTGTACTCTTCGATCTTCTGTACATTTCGCTGAAGGGTATGTATGTGGTCTATGATGCTAATGCCTTTTCGGAAATCGGCCTGTTCGGGAGGCAGGAAGTCGTCAAGTCTGCGCGCGAGACGATTCGTAATAACTCTCGAAAACAGCACGTAAGATCGCTCGGGTAAGATCTATTAATGTGACCTTATTTAAATTTAAGATAATCATCAAAGACGATTTATTTTATTAATGTTTATATTTTGGTTGTAGCACGAATATATCAGCTCGACCGGGTAAGGACCACGCGCTCACAGATAATCTTATAATATCCAATCTTAGTAAGATTAAAATGTAGTAATGATTTCTTATATTCACGTCAACACTACACATTTAAATAAAACTAGCTTTGTGGATTTTATCGCGTATATTAACTTATTTTATATTCCCGACATTTCGAGAACTTAACAGCACCCATGGTCACGGGAAGGGGGACTGAGGTGTTTGACGTCCCAATGTCATAGTTAACCATGGCTACCTCCAGATTAAAAATTATTAATTTTTGTTCTGATCTACGCAGTAAGAACTTACAGTATCTTGAAGTCTTGCAGTTGTATGCTTGAGTTGGGATTTTATTTTATTAATTATAGGATCCCAAGCAGATGGTAGCACCCAGTCCCGGGGGGAGGGTAGGGGGGACTGAAGTGTTTGTCACCATGGGTGCTATAAAGTACTCGAAACATCAGGAATATAAAATAAGTTAATATATGCTAAAATCCATAAAACCAGTTGTATTTAAAACTAGCTGTTCCCCGCGACTTCGTTCGCGTGTTAGGGTTTTTATGTTTCTGCGCGGAACCCTGATTCTTTTTCTGAAATAAAAGTAGCCTAAGTTACTCCTTATGAAATCAGCTATCTGCCAGTGAAAGTCCCGTCAAAATCGGTCCAGCCGTTTCGGAGATTACCCGGAACAAACAGACAGACAGACAGATAGACAGACAGACAGACAAAAATTTTAAAAATTGTATTTTAGTTATAGGTATCGTATTAACTTTCATATGCATTTAGTAAAAAACTGTAATTTTGACATTACAAACAGACACTTCAATTTTATTTATTTGTATAGATGTAGTATTTATAACATGATGCTAAATCACTAGCATCATTAATAAAAGAAGATAAAAATTAAAGAGAAATTGCTTGTGTTACATGTTGTGAAATTTTATAAAGAGCATGCAATTTCTTTAACACTCTGATGTTGCACAGCCAAATAAAGTAGGAAGTTTTTGATAATAATAAATTTTACACTTACCTCTGTATTGGCGACTTTAGTGACAAGTATAAAACAATTGTTATTCAGGTGACTTATAAGGGTTGATGGCACAGAAGGACTATCGGCAAGTCTAGGTGGACATCGATATCTAAGCCTCTCCAGACGAGTGCTCAGTGCCCTTTTATTCATACTCTCCTCCGCAAGATAACGCATTCGCATCCGAAAATCATTTACCTCAGAACTCCTCAGATTGTCAAATTCACTCAAACCTTAAAAAAGCAATGTATTTTCATTATGTATTAATAAATTAATAATAGTGAACAAAGATGATTATCTAAAAAGGCAATACATTTAAGTCAATAAACATATAGTTTTAAGAAATGCCAAAAAGGATTATTTAAATACAATTAAGAGAGAATTGTACACTTATTTAATAGTGGAGAAATCTTGAAATATATTTGAAGCACTCAAAGGCTGTGCAAGAAAATCCATTATTCCATTACGTCTTGTGGAGGGAGAGATGATGGTAAACAACTCATTTATGTCAGACCTAAAATATCCAGACCAGTGTTAGACAGTATCAAAGATAACAAGAAAGGAAATATCTGGCATAACAATCCTCAATCATCCTCCTGAGTGATGATTATAGCAAATCCTTACTACAAAGGAAGAGGCACACGTACAGCAGTGGCCTTTAGGGACCAATATAGAAGTAAGAAAGATAGATTGTTACATTGAACATGAATTAATATGCCTTAAATAAGGATGGCTCTGCACATAAAACCTGGCCTGCAGACTTGGATTTAAATCCGAACTGAAGTTATGTAATTTACCTTACGGTGCGTACACATTATATAACATGTTTCAGTAATCTGACACATGACACAAATGTTATAAAACTCGAACGGCAGAACGACAAACGACAATCTCATATAACATTGTTATATTGCATTGTTATTCTAATGTGTACAGTATTGTTATATGTTGCAATGTTGAAAAACAATGTTACATAATGTGGACGTGTTATAAAACAAATGTTATACAACATGTTACTTGATCTGTATGCACCCTTATGCAACACAACATTTTAAGATATTTCTGAAATTATCACGTAGGTGTTACATTGTATTCAATTATTGGTGCTTCTATTAGTGTTCATGTAACCTGTGTATGACTTGACCAATTGAGGTCATATTTACATAATATTAGTTCTATTTTTTTTTGTGAAACAGAGTGATGATCAAACTTAAAGTCCACCAGATGGTAATGGCTATTAAAAGTAATCTATTACTATAATAAAACTAACACTATGTCTGTCTAGACACACATCACACAAAAACCTGTGAACCGATTTGGATGGGATTTTCATTGCCACATAGCTGATGTTATAAGGAGTAACTTAGGCTACTTTTATTTTAAGGTTTCGCACAAAAACATTCCACGCGGACGAAGTCCATGTAGCCTTTAGTACAAAATTCTATACCAACTTGTTTAGAATTTCTGCATTTCTGCAGGAGTTACAGAGACTATTTAAAATAAGGTGGCCTACAAGCTTATGTCTCACTCTAATATTAAAAAAAAATTATACTGGACAAAATTCTTCTTCATAAAATACCTAGGGCATGCATAACTTCAAAGGTTCATCCATATTTACTAAACAGCAAAGGCAGATTTGTGAATGTAACAGTTACTCTTTTACACACTAAACACTCTGTTACACTATCACCAGTTTGATGTTGTCCAATACATTTTCTGCCATCAGTTGGTCCCCAATACATTCTTTAATTTGCCATGTGTAAGACAAAGGAAAAAGAATTATGCGTACACATGAAATACATTTAATGACTTAATTATGGGCCCTGAACTTCAACCCAGATGGAGCAAACAATTGTGCATAACCACATTGTTAGTTTCAGGTCTAATTGTGTCGGAATTGTCCCCATATCCAAGACAGTGTATCTTAGCCTATCTCTTATCACATAAGTGTTACATTGTGCATTAGTTTATTAATACTAGTTAATACAATGCAATTCAAATATGAATAAGAACATCAATGACCTCGAATTACCGCAATCTGTCAACTGTCACTAGAAAAGTACGGCTTGCAGAGAAAACTAATTTGAATATTAATAATGTTTTTTTCTGCTATATTTAACTGCATCTTAGTATTACCAAATTTATTGAACTCATAATTATTTTTATAAATTAATTAAAAATATTGATACTACTAGTCAGTGGAATATTTTAAATATCTAATAAACCCATGTTCTATTTTTATAAGGGAAAGCAGCAGTGATGATAATGATGTCAATGGGGATCGCTGATTACTCAGATAGTGATGCAGAGATGAGCGAAATTGAAATACTAGATTCAGATTAAAACTTTTTTGTTCATGGTCATTTTGTAAATAATTATTATTTCAAAAATATGTGTATGGTCACCCCACCAAACTGGTTTGAATTGATAGCTATGATGTCACAATATGGTGCAAGGTCAGTCCTATTCTTATTTGAATCCCTTAGTACCTATGTAAACATAAACAGATTCAGCACTTAAAAGTTCTTCTGTGCAGTCAGCTACTTGACATTAAGTGGATGTTGTTGCCATGGTAAATATTAAATGAGAAGACTTCATTATCAAAGCCATTTGCTTTATAAAACTTAGCTTAAGATATATATGCTCTAAAGCATTTTATAATCACTAAATTACTTTTTATTACCTTTCCCAATCAAATTGCTGATGTGTGTATTTAGCAAATGTTCACCAGGCCTCTCAATAGACCGTTCAATAATAACAAGCACTCCACACACTGGCTTTATGTCTCGCAGCCTCTTATTCTCATCATCCACTTCTTCAGTTACAGCTAACGAGTTGATAAATTGGAATACATAGCCTGACATTTCATGAAGCATCCCAAATAACGGGAACTTCCCTGCCAGATCCCATAGTTCCTGAAAAATTATGAACTTACAATGAAGTTAAAATTTATTACATATTTATTATTATACATTTTACTTTGTACATGGTAGAGCCACGCTGCAGCTATCTTAGTTGTATAATTGTAGCAAGAATGGGTCGGCTCGACCTGGGAAGGACCACGCGCTCGCAGAAAACCAGCGTAAAATGGCAGCTTAATGCTGCTGTGTTTTGTATGGTGAGTGTAGAGAACCAGCGACCCTTTTTACTGGAAACGAGGCATTCTATCTTAGTCCTCACAGGTGACAACATATCCGCATCTTGATTTGTAATTGGGAATAGAGCCTATGAGCCACAGCAACCACTCACCATCAGGTGGACTGTGTGCTCGCTAGTCACCTTTATTCTATAAAAAAAAAAGTTTTAAACCTGAAAATAATGTGTTGTATTTATTCATAATGCAAAGTATAAAACCATTTTTAATATCTTTATCATTATAAGTCTATTGCTGAACACAAGCCTCATAATGTAACTCCTTTTTCATTGTTTGTAAGTGTTATACAAAGAAGAAATGCAGAGATGCAGAGTGTAATTATTAACCATGCAACAGATATAAAACAAAGTCAATTACTTTCTAAAAATCAAAGTCACATATATGTGTACATATTACACAATACACTAACCTACTTCTATACTGTAAAGAACAATTTGTTGGTAAGCCGCATGAGTCATGCCGCCTGCACAGGATAATTTTGTCAGCTTATAAACACTAACCTCCTTGACATCCTGCAATGTAGCATCCCAGCTCACTGTGAGAGGTATATACACAGAGTTTGGCATCAGACATATCAGCTCGACGTGGTCGGACGTGGAGGACGTCCAGTAGTCCCACGTATACTGGCAACTCGGTGCGGGGACCATTGTTTTGATTGATCTCTTGCCTGATCACACAAATTACCCCCACAACATTTTAAAAACTTTCACTGGAAACTCGCTATATAGCGACCACGTCGTTGCCGGTCACTGAAAATATTATTCACTAACAATCACTAATTGATACTAAAACAACAATGTTGAATCATAGCATTTCCTGGTATTTTGATTAGGGGGCAAATCGCCATTCGAAAAGAAACTGTCAGTGTAATTACACAAACAACATTGAAGATCGAATCGTTAACAAATTGTATGAAGTTTACCTCTTGAATACTTTTACATAATTTTTGCTTCGACAACAAATTAAAAGTCAGATTTAAACGTTTCTAAGAAATTGTAAATAAAAAATTAAGATTACGTTCAACAATCTACCGTAGTACTTGCACAGTAAAAAGTAAACTAATTGGCTATGGTGCATTCAGTGTTGCCGCTAGATGAAAAACAACCAAACTCTTGTCAAAAATGCGCTATCTCGAATTCATGGAAGACCGCTTTGGTCCACCCGATCCCAAAAAAAGGCGACTGCTCAGACCCGTCTAACTACAGGCCTATCGCCATCACTTCCTTGTTCTCCAAAATAATGGAATCCATTATAAACTGCCAGCTCATGAAATACCTTGAGGATCACCAGCTGATTTGTGACCGCCATTACGGTTTTCGTCGGGATCAATCAGCTGGTGATCTTCTGGTCTACCTGACGCATAGATGGGCGGAGGCAGTAGAGTCCAAGGGGGAGGCATTGGCCGTTAGTTTGGACATAGCGAAGGCCTTCTATCGGGTTTGACATAAAGCACTTCTTTCGAAATTCCCTTCCTATGGGCTTCCCGAGAAATTGTGCAAATGGATCACCAGTTTCCTTGCTGATCGGAGCATCAAGGTCGTAGTAGACGGTGCATGCTCTGATTACAAGCCTATCAACGCTGGTGTTCCACAAGTCTGCGTACTATCACCAACGCTGTTTCTACTACATACCAATGATATGTTGCAAACTGGTAACATTCATTGCTATGCAGACAACAGCACTGGTAATGCCTTATATACCGGCCGTCCCAATATTTCTCGGAAAAACGTCACCGAGTACCAGGACAAATTTGTGTCTCAAGTCGAGTCTTTGTTGAACGAAGGTTCGGTTTGGAGGCGACTAAATCTAGTCCAGTTCAATCCCCAGAAGACACAAATTGGCGTGTTTACCGCTAAAAAGAACCCCTTTGTCATATCTCCTCAGTTTTAAGGCACTCCCCTTGCTGCCTCGGCTAAATTCAGAATCCTCGGCATCGACATACCGAATAGTGTGCAGTTTCGTGGTCACTTGGAAGGGAAGGCCAAATTGGCCTCTAAAAAGCTTGGCGTACTCAGCAAAGCAAGACATTGTTTCATGCCGGCACATCGCTTGCAACTTTACAAAGCGCAAGTTGTTCTAATCTCTGGGCCGAGGCACCCCAGTGCCAGCTCCTTCCACTTGACCGCATCCATAGCAGCGCGGTTCGAATCGTCGGCGACCGAGTTCTTTCTGATCGGCTCGATTCACTGGCGCTGCGTAGGGATGTTGCATCCCTTTGTATTTTCTATCGAATCTACCACAGGGGGTGCTCTGAGGAATTGTTCGGATTAATCCCAGCCGCCAAATTTCACGAACGCACATCACGTCAAAATTCACGATACCATCCTCATCATCTACATGCTTGGCGGTCCACCACTATGCATTTTACTAGGAGTTTTCTCCATCGTACAACTTCTCTGTGGAATTGTTTACCACCGGAGATTTTTCCGGACCGATACGACTTCTGAACCTTCAAGAAAAGAGCTTACTTCTGTCTAAAAGTCCTGCAACGCACCTGCAATTCCCCTAGTGTTACGATTGTTCATGGGCGGCGGTATTCACTTACCATCAGGTAAGCCACATGCTCGTTTGCCCTCTCTTCTATATAAAAAACACATCAGAAGTGTAATACTTGTCTTTCGTGAGTTGGAAATGGACCTTTAACTCGTTCCATTGATTTGAAATTCTAGCTACCGCGGGCTCAACGGATAACCAGCGCGTGTCACATAATTTTAAGATTTTCAGGGGCTGCTTTCTACAATTAATGAGATTATTTTCCTCATATTCTTTTTGGCGCTTCGCGGAAAGTGTAAAACATTTATATGTTTCTTTAATAAAAAATTCGATGTGTATTGGAATCATATGTTCTGATGCACGACTAACAGTCAAGTGCAGTGAATAGCAAACACATCTTATCAATATTAATTTCGGTAAGTTGTATTGTGTTCACAGCATTTCATATATGCTGTTGTGCTGCCCTATCATTACAGCAGCATTATTTGTACCAATACCAACCAAGTAGGCAATTGGCAGATTATTGGAAATGAGTCCATTGGCGTCAGCTTTATCCACAGGCTCCAGAGACAGGAATGCAAAAAAACTGCGTTTAATGTCAGACTAAAATATCTCACAATAATCATCAAAAAAAAAAAAGAATTGACTCGAGAAAATTCAAGAGCGATGATTTATTATAAGTTTTGAAGTGGTTTAACACAAAAACACTGTGTTGACCGGATGATTTCTGCATTTGGTGATGAAGCCCCATCCAAAACCACAATTTATCGCTGGTTTGCTGAATTTCAACGTGGACGCGTCAAGCTCAGTGATGATCTCCGTCAAGGTCGTCCAAAAACTGCAGTCACCCAAGAAAACGTTGATGCTGTGCGTAAGCTGATTGAGAAAGATCGACATGTGACATACCGCGAAATTCAGGCAACTTTAGACATTGGCATAAGTCAAATACAAATAATCTTGCATGAACAATTAGGTGTAAAAAAGTTGTTTTCCCGATGGATACCGCATTCGCTCTGTGAAGAACAAAAAGCGGCTCGCGTTACTTGGTGCGTCAGAACTCTCGAAAGATTCCACGCAGGAGCCTCAAATGCTGTATACAACATCGTATATGAATCCTGGATATACGCGTACGAACCCGAAACAAAAAACCAGTCACGAGTTTGGGTGTTCGAAAATGAGTGAAAGCCTACAAAAATAGTTCGTTCACGGAGTGTTGTAAAAAAAATAGTGACCACGTTTGTCTCCAAAACCGGCCATGTTACAACTATTCCTCTTGAGGGACAAAGAACGGGTAATGCAGAATGGTATGCTAGCATTTGTTTGCCACAGGTCGTTTCTGAACTCCGTAAAGAGAACTGCAACCGCCGCATCACCCTCCATCACGACAATGCGAGTTCTCACACCGCACACAGAACAAAAGAGTTTTTAGAGCAAGAAAACATAGAATTACTCGACCATCCGCCGTACAGCCCCGACCTAAGCCCTAATGATTTCTATACTTTCACTAAAATAAAGAATAAATTGCGTGGACAGAGATTTTCATCACCTGAAGAAGCCGTGAGCGCCTACAAAACGGCCATTTTGGAGACCCCAACTTCCGAATGGAATGGTTGCTTCAATGATTGGTTCCATTGTATGGAAAAATGTGTCAAACTTCGCGGAGAATACTTCGAAAAGCAATAAATACATTTTTAAATAGTAATGTTGTGTCACTTCCTTGATTCCCGAAATTTTCAGTGCCGCCCTCGTATGTAGTTAATTGAATACAAAAATTAAGAGATCAATAAGTAATATTAGAATTTAGTATTATATAATATAATAATACTAAATTCTGATTTTATTTATTGATTCACATTCTCTTGTCTATGATTATTCATAGGGATGTTGTTGGTGCAGTAACGACCAACCACTAAAACAACTACGCTAGTCTCTGACTAGTATACAGTATACAGTATTATCTGTGTACGCTAGTAATATATACGTCAAGGAATACTACTAAAATATAGTGATTTTAAACTTTTCTGTAATAAACAGGTTGGTGACACCCCTATAGTAAAAATTATGGATGTTGTTGTTGTATTCATACGTTCATAGATTGATTAAATTTCTCTTATATAAACGATTATAGTTAGCAGAGTATAGATTTAGATTCCAGTATTTTACTCTGCTGCCATATTTCACAGAATAAAAGGCAGATAAGCAAGCCTAGATATAATGGATGCTGGTGTATCAAAAGCTCTACTACGAAAATTCACATGTAAAAACAAATACATTTAACGTCATAACTGATATTTCATCTGGCAGTAGTATGACTAATAAAAATAAAATGAAATCCCCAAGTAAAGAAACCATAGAAAAAATATTTGGTAGTCAACAGAAATGAAAAAAAAGCTGTGATGCCGAGACTAAAGCCTAGCTCTTTTAGAGACTTTTTCACTAGCAAAGAAGAATTTCTGCGGTTAAAACAAGCAGAGGCAAATAAATCTAAACTTAAATTAAATACTTGAAGATGCAAGAAAAGTAATGGGATAGGCATAAAAGAACAAAAAGCTATAGCAAAATTAATTAAATAACCGGCCAAGTGTGAGTCGGCCTCGCAGATGAAGGTTTCCGTACCATTGAAATACACTTTTCTAGTTTCTTCGCCCGTTTTAATTTTTAATTTATTTAAAATTTTTATTATTTGTTGTTATAGGGGCAACAGAAATACATATTCTGTGAAAATTTCAACTGTCTGCCTATTACGGATCATGAGATACAGCCCGTTAACAGACAGACGGACGGATGGACGGACAGCGGAGGCTTAGTAATAGGGTGCCGTTGGTTACCCTTTGGATCATCATCATCATCATCATTACAGCCCTTCACAAGTCCACTGCTGAACATAGGCCTCCCCCAAGGAATGCCACAAAGCACGGTCCTGAGCCACCTGCATCCATCGACTTCCGGCAAAACTTACCAGGTCGTCACTCCATCTAGTGGGGGGACGCTCTACATTTCGCCTTCCGGTACGAGGCTGCCACTCGAGAACTTTTTTTCCCCATCGGCTGTCGGTTCTTCGAACTATATAGCCGGCTCATTGCCACTTTAGCTTACTAATCCGTTGGGCTATGTCGGTTACTCTGGTTCTACTGCGGATATCCTCATTTCTAAG